AAATCAATCAAAAATACAACGATCTTCATTTGAACAAGAGTATGATTTAATAATAAGTCATAATCATAATCATACCAATCCTCTCCAACATGAAATAACAATTCCAGAAGATGAATTTAGTAGTGATCATCATGATACTAAATCCGTATCGTTAACTGGATCTTACTTTGATTGGTTTAAAAATTTTATTGAATGTCATCAATAATGATAAGAAAAACTTCATTATTTTTTGTTTTTGAATAGTATATTGAAATCTTCACTTTATAATTACATGCCAGTTTTTTTTTTTCTTTCACATTTTCTATGAAGTTTTTGCTAGATATTTATCAAGTCTGTATATATTTATACAATGTTGTTTAAAATTCATGGTATACATTTTATCAAAATATACGCATTGTTTTAGTTAGATTTTTTTCTTTGGAAGGGAACGATTTAAAACTTTGAGAGAGCGAACACCTATTTTTGGAGAGTATAGGCAAATAGTACACAAAAGAGATGGGATCGGTAGAATTCGCACTATGTCAAATTAGTTTAGGTTTCGGTTCGATTTAAATTTTGAAAAACCTAAAAAGATCCCGTGTCTGATACATAGTACAATAATTACAAAGTTCAGAAGAACTAACCCATTTTTGAAAAGCTTTCATCTGTCCCTCATGTTGGATAAGACATTAAATACATACATATTTCGTAATAAAACATTGTATGTTTTAGAATTTCGAACATAAAAAGCATCCTGAAGCAAGTTTTTTACTTGTTTTTATAGTTAGAATGCTTGTAAATACTGATCTACATTGAAGATCAAAAAAATATTTCATCATGAAATTTACGTTCATTCTTATATTAAGTTTATAATCAATTTTAAGTTAATTTGAAAAATATCAATTCGAATATTTTTTTTAATCTAATGCAAGAAAATTACATCGAAAAAGAACTTATACCAGATGGTGTTCAACTATAAAATGTGAGGTACGAGTTGTTAAAAAGTTCGTCTTGATATTTGTTAGGCTTTATGTAAAATATTTTCGGAAAACAAGAACATCTATTGGATGTACGATCAATTTTGAACGATATTATATTTATATTTTGTTATTGGTCGGTACAATTTTTTAAAGTAGGTTTTAAATATACATAAGAATAAAAAATACATTATTTATGAGCAAAAGAAGAAAGTCATGAAATTTATAATGAAGGGGAAAAATATTAATCAAGTAATGTTTATTCATGACGACATATTATATATCTTTAATAAAAAGAGTACCTAATTTTAATCCTACTATAAAGGTCGACCAAAGTACATTATTTAAAAATAAAACTGTAGTATGATTCACCTTCACTTCATTAAAATCGAATCAGAATCAGTGTAAGATATAAGTAATAAATAATGCTTTTCTTTTCTTATACATTATAGAAAACAGCTGTCGCATTTTTTCCTTCCTGACATCCTTGAGACGAAAATAGAATATGACGCCACTTTATAGGATCAATTACAAAGATATAAAGAAGTTGCTTTGATGACCTTCAAGCATCTTATATTTGCTAATAAACAACTCCATAATATCTGGAAAAGTATTATAAATTAGATCGATTATTTCATTAGTACATGTAAACATTTCTATTTCCACTACGAAATATGTTTCTAGTAGTCATCTGCACCCTGATCATGGCTATAGTCACGATGCAGGTCTCTATCCTCAGATCATGTCGAAAATTGACTTTCGAGTTTCAATTTCGACCTTGGCATGGACAAAGTTCTCAATGAAATTAGTTCATTGAGCAAGTTGTAACTTTTCTAGCATCTCCCATCCTGAGATATTCAATATTCGAGATTCTTTCATGTCTAAAAGAAAATTTTGTTCAAATATTTACATCTGCAAAATGGAAATAATAGAAAAGCTAAAATTTGTACAATCAACTAATATCATTAAGAGCTTTGTTTGCACAAAGTTCGAAAACCAAGCTTATAAGATGATTTTCCACGTGATTTGAGAGGAACAATAGCTCTTTTGTTGAAAAACCTATTCAAATTTCGATAGTATGAAAAATGAAGAGCCGGAAAACCAAAATATTCTATACTTTTCTATTTTTATCTTGCGCTTATCAAATGAATAACGTCTTAGTCGAAAAGCGATCTGACACTTGAAGAGTTTCCTCGTCATATGCAATCATTATCGAAATCACAAAATAGAATTGTTCATAAGTTAAATTTTCTTATGTATACATTTCATACAACTGAACTTTCCAAAAAAAAAAATAACGGTTACTTATCTGATACAGAGTAACATTTACTATAATGAGCGATAGAGAAATGAGTTAATTTAAAAAATTTTTTATTTCAAATGAAAGTCTGAATAATCTAAATTATGACTAGATAGAATTGAATATGAATTTTAAAAACTTCGTAGTATTATAATTTTCTTCAGATGATATTTTTTAACTAACACAGAAAATATTTAGTGACACTCATCAGAAATAATACTATGTAATTGTATGGGACAGAGACAGAAACTAAGAGTTTTGCTGAATATAGTTGATGTAAACGCTAAAATTTATTACTGACTTTCTATGTAATAATTATTGAAATCAAAGAATAGAATGAGAAAGAAAATATTGAATATCTTGACAAGTTGTTCACGTTTTTCATTCATGTTAACTGTACAATCAAAATAGTTTTCGATTGTTTCGAATATAAAATATGACTGCACTATTATTCGCATCAACATTTGTTAAAAGCGACATATTATTAGAGACATTTATTTTATCTACAAGCTAGAGAAAGCTAATATAGACAGATAAGTAATTTCTTAAGAAATCTAATCAATTAAAACTCATCTGTTAAATATAATTTAATTATATAAACTAACGATTAAATCTTAATCAACATTAAGTTCAACAAGTCTGTGAATTTGTTTTTCATTGTAGTTTATTAGATATAGACGTGTTGTATGGCATTAATAAAATTGAAATACTGAGTACATGTTTTCGAAAGACTACCTTATTGCACTACTTCATTCTGGTCTTTTTTCTTCTAACGGTACCAATTTTTAGCTCCATTTAACACAGAGTTTGTATACATATACATAATTGGAAAAAATAACAATTATTGTAATGTATAATCAAATTATGTTGAACATATGTCAACATTGCCAAAACATTCTATATAGAATTCTACAGATATTATTATAATGAAAATACGAAAAAAGCTATTAAGAGAATAAATACTTTTCTAATATGCTGTCTTTCATCATTCATTTGATGTATAAAACACTAAAAGCAGTCACTGATATCGATGAGTATTTTTTCACGACTTGGTACATATTTATGACAAACTCAAAAAAAAACACGTCTTTTCTTTTGTATTAAATAATACAACAGGAACTATATTTTATTGTAAAGAAGAATGATGTGCTTCTCTCTCATCATAGTACAGTTAAATGACAAAATATTCAAGCATAATAGTTGCAGGAATAAAGTCGATGAATCAAAGCAAAGTGAAGACAAGATTACATCTATAGGATTTAATAAGGGTAACAATATCTAATTATCAAATACAAGCAGTGGCGTAGCCAACCATGAATCATTGGATGATTGTCCATAGGTTTTGTCGAAGGTGGTGACAGCTGCCGACTAGAATTTGAAAGTTCTGAACATTATCAGAAACCGACATTGGAAACACGGTTTTGGTTACTAAAAATGAGACAAAAAAAAGTGTTTTGTTTCATTTCCTAAAATATCACATGAAATCAAAATCGTTAAATCGTCAGATAGATACGAAAAATTTCAAACTATATAGTTTGAGAAATTTTCACTATTAAATTGTTGAGATTAAAGACGCTAAATATTTTATTACTTAAACAAAACAATATTATACATATAAATTAAAATCTTTAATATTCAAGAGTGAAAAAATGAAGATTGTTCGATTTCGATTTAAGAATTTTTATTTCTATCTAATGATCTGACGGTTTCCGTTCGATAATCAGTTTCAATCTTTTGGAGCTTCGCGAACATGTGCAAGTTTTGTAAATAATTTTTTTCACAATTTTTATCAACATCAACTCCTTACGTAATCAAAAATATTCATATGGAATAGAAGAGTGAAAAAAATTGAGATAAAAACTTCGTTCTTGTTGTTTTTTATTGTAAATATACAAAATATACATATGCTTATAAAACAAACCAATCATTTTAGAGCAAAAAAGACGCAATGAAAAGAAATAATTTCCATCTGTAAAAAAAAAACATGCTATCGTTCGGTAGTCAACAAAGAGTTGGTTATAGCTGAAGTAGTTTGAGTTCTTTTACGATTTCATTCAATAGATACAATGAATAGCATTCCATTTCGTGATGTGAATATATTCTCAATCATTGATTGCTAGTAACAATGAACACAACATTATGTTCAAAATACTTCAATTGACATTAAAGACAACGGAAGTAGCTTTTTAACATTCTCTTTTACTTTAGATTTATACTACACACATGATATTCAATCTAAAATTTATTCGATACTTTTCTGATATTACTTTTGTAGATATTCAGAGACATTTTTATTTTAGACAAGAATGTTGAATGAAAATCAACTAAAGTGAATTGAAAGGTAAAAACAAATAGTTGATCACTACACGATAGTTGTTAAGAGATTGTGTTAACCTTTTGAGGATAAAAGAAAAGATATGGATGCAGTTTCATCTGTATGAGGCTGCCTTTGACTTTCTATTACAAAGTTTGAAGATTTTGTTGAGAACAATGTGATAATACAATGGTTCTCCAATGGTGCTTATATTATATGATTGTTATGTAAGAATATCAAAAAAAAGAAATATACCTGACAGTTTTTAAATTGTTAAAGAACAGAAGAAAAAAGTACAACAAAATAATGTTTTACTGATTGTGATCTTATTAATCGAGTGATTGTTTGCTTTTTTGTTGTGCATCAATTAAATGAAAAAGAAAAGAAAAAAAAAAGAAGAGATTCATTCGTTTAGTAATCATGCCATAAGATGTCAAAAGCAAAACGTCACAAGAAGAAACATCACCATGGTGCAACAGATGAGAATAAGAAGACAAATGAACATTCGACGAGTCAATTATTCAGTGAAGCAGATGCTAAATCTATCGAAACCTCTGGTTATTCAATGAGCCATGGAGCACTTCAAACCAATCGATTCATGCAAGAACGCACAATACCGACAGGTGTTGGTAAGTCACGTGCTATAGGAATTCTATATATTATTTATAGATGTATGTCTGTAAATCATAATAGTAGATATTGACGAATCTGTACAACTTCCTAAACCATCTTCGAAACTTCATCATCGACATCATCATTCAAAACTAAATTCTGTTCTTCAACCTAATGAAAGCTATCACAAAGAACATGTTCATTTACCACCGATTAGTGATCGTTCTCATCACCATCATCATAATCATCCGTCTGGATATCTTAATGCACCATCTGATTATTATCATTTTGAACATTTGTCTCATTCTAATCCAGTTGGTCATGAACATGAGTCATCTCATCATCGTCATCATCATCATCATCAACAACAACAACAACAACATAATCACCATCAACATAAACATCATCATCGACATCATCATCAGCATCAGCATGAAAAAGAAGTTGAAACATATGATTCTCGTTGGTGGTATATGCCAGTCAATTCAGTTCATGCACCGAAACCATGGCGACCTCCTGAATATCATTATGTAGCACCAAAATGGTACGAATCACCTAGCAAAGAGAGTAGAATATCGATTGATACTCCAGAATCAAGATTATCTCCTCGAAAATATATTGACTGTCGATGTGGAGTATGCAAGCCACCAAAAGATACACCGCGTGGTATTAAATGGATTGTCAATGAGTAATATCTCGTTTAATAATGATGAACAAGAAATTGAAGAAGTGGAAACATACGAAAACATTTTTAATTCAAATGTTGTTGTTATTCTTGCAAGTGTTCTTCAAACACAACAAGAGCGTTTGAATAGCTCAGGTGTTCTGTTTTCTTTTTGTGTTTGTAATAGAAAAATAGACGAAATCCGATTACAATAAAAGGATTATTTTTAAAGTAAATTATTAGGAATTATTCAAAATAAATTAGTAGATCATTTTTAACAAATACTTCTCATTCAAAGCGTATAATTCATCAATATCTTTGTATATTCTGTTTACATCGGTTCCTATCATCATTTCATAGTTTTTAATCAGATGCTATTTATCGATCATATTTGCTTGGTTCCTGCATTACCAAATGATGTTTCTTCAAACATTATTAACCAAAAAAATAATTTTATTGCTCATATTTTAACAATACTGAACAATCCCTTCCAGTTAAATTTAATACTCTATAATATAAAGAATTAATCCTTAATCTACTTCTCTATCTGTTCTTGCCGAACAAAAACGGAAATTTAAAATAAATCTATTTCTCACTCTTAACTGTCCCGATTACTAGATGATTCATATTTACTTTGCTCGCATTACCTTTGTTTTTTTTACACCATATTTCATCGGTTGATATCTACTAACGAGAGAACATATTTGAGTGTCTCCCCTGAAAAGGAGTTCAAAAGTATTCTATGTGTTAGGGACCTCGATTTATATCTCGAATGTCAATATCTTAGGTGCCCCCGTTTAGGTCTCGAAAAACTAGAGTATCAAACTTTTTCATTTTATACTCTTTCTAACTAGTAGTTGTGTCATGCCTTCTTCCGCCTTTTGTTAAATTTACAAGAAAAGGCAGTCTTCTTTTCGAGACAATAACTTGAAATGTATATAAGTCGATACGGAGGAGCTATTCCGTTATCACTGGTGAATATATCACATCTAGGTTTTCTATTCACTTATCTGTATAAATTACGGTTTCATGTTACCGAAAACGATAAGTAATCGATCAAATGAGTATTTGCTTGAGAAAAATAGATGTAATATGTTCACCAGTGATAACGGAATAGCTTCTCCATATCGACTTATATACATTTCAAGTTATTGTCTCTGAAAGAAGACTGCTTTTTCTTATAAATTTAACGAAAGACGAAACAGAGCATGACACATCTACCAGTAAGAAAGAGCATAAAGCTGAAAAAGTTTAATCCTCTAGTTTTTCGAGACCTAAACTGGAGCAGTTAAGATATTGATATTCGAGATATACATCGAGGTCTCTAACACATAGAATACTTTTGAACTCCTTTTCAGGAGGAAAACTCAAATATGCTCTCTCGTGAGCTAGTGATTTTCTTTTTGATGAAATAACTCGAATGGCTCTAATAGTAAAAATGTTCAATCTTCTGAGAAACAAGCTAGAAAACGCTCTCATTTTATGGTAGACATAATTCATTAAGGTCTATAAGATGCGCAAAGTGTGGGCTTACAAGCACCTCAACACTTGTAGATCTTTCCTCATCAGCTCGAGCCAAAAAAAACTCAATGAAATTTTATTGATAGTAGATATAAATGGGTTCTATCGATAGTAAAAGTTTCAAAGAATTTATATATGCTACTGGCAAGAAGTAGATGTTACAGTGTAACAAAAGAAAATGAAATTTCATAATGCTTGGTCACTCCAATATACAATTTTATATGTAGTATATACATTTCGCTTGTCCTCATCACTCTTGATAAGGAGTTTGAAAAATTGATATCATCTCATCTCATTTTAAAATTTGTGTTGAATTTAAAGCAACTCAAATTACATGATCCAAGAACTATGATGTCTAACAAAATGCACACATGTAAGTTTGACTTTGCTTGACTGATTCCATTTCTTGTTGCTTCGTAAAAGTGTTTGTTACTTTTTTTCTTTCTTATGTTTAGAAAATAAATCTCAAAAAAAAATGTCATATGTTATGTCTAATAATTAGAACATCAAAGATAGCATATAAATAATGAAACATTTCGCAATATAATGGATATTATAAGTCATAAAATAATCATTATCATTATTTTCGATTACAAGTTTTCTTTAATCTTTTACATTAGTAAATTTTGAATTTTGGTCAAGTTTTTCATATTGAAAATAAAATCATAAAATTCAAATAGTTTGGATAAGAGATGTGCCTTGATACCCATTATTTGTTACAATTAGTCTTTAGCAATAATTGATTTCTTGTATGAAGATTTACTTTTCATTGATTATTTGGATAAAGAGACACAGTTAAAGAGCAATAATTGCTATAATCAATGTATTGTACCAACACAGCAAAAAAAGTTTCAATAAAAATATAAATAAATAGCAATAAACAAAAAGATATTAACATTCAAACTCAAGCATACACAAACCGAACTGCATGTATATACTTCATATTAGTATCGATTGAACTTGAAATAGTAGTCAATCATATAGAAAGATTTGAACATTCAGTCGAGGGTTACGCTAGTCGTAATGATGAACGTTACTTATCTTAAGTGAGAGAAGAAAATGACACAATAATTTTGTTTATATTTTATACGATAATCTCTTTTGATATGTGCTTGAATAAAGATACAACATATCTTTTGAAGATTGTACTCAACTAGTTAATGAATAAACACACAGCGCCAAATGGCATCTGATGTCAATTTTCAAGGCGAATATATAAAACCTTGTTCTGCAATGTCATCATCATCATGTAAAACAATTACAAATCCATTTACATCACCAACATCACCATTACAACCTATATATCAAGTTGATTCCATGGTCAATGTTGTTGGAGAATCCAATAACGGTGGAATATTTTTATTTGAGACTGAACGTCATCTTGTGTATACTAAGAAATATACATATACATTATACAGTGTATGTATTTTTGGTTGTTGGATATGTACTATTCCATCGATTGTTGTTACTATATTTGCTCGAATAGCTGCTAGAAAAAATCAAATAGCTCGAGCTAAAGTTATGTTTAATATTGCATTCATTTTTTCATTCTTTGGTTTGATATTATTTGCTGTACAAGCAGGTTATTTAACGTGGCTTATACGTTATCTCTTACATAGATTTCTCACTTAATAAAATATACGCCTAAAAAATATAATAAATTTCACACTTCTATTTTCATATAAAGATAATATAATTTCGAATAGGCAAATATTCATCAGACCATGTACGGTTAATTATAGAAAAAAAAACCATTCTTGTATAGTAAAGTGGAAATTAGGTCAGTCGACAGTGCACATATGTTCTTCTTCTCCGATCATTCTAATCCATAAATAGAATCAAAACAAAATAAAGTCATGATATTTTTTCAGTTTGTATATGCCATGAGATCATAATACTTGATCAAAATATAATAATATAATTCAATTTTTTATGTTAAAAAAAACAAAATATGAATTTTGTTTTATACCCTAACAAAGTTTCATTTAAAACTCGATCGGCTTAGTTAATTACAATTCAAAATGAAAAAATAAAAAGAGTTTATTATATCATTACTAGTATTAAAATAGAATTACTTGTTTTCTGTGATTTATGTGACAAATTAGTAATGTTAGACAAAAAATTTTTATTAATACAATAATATTGATATAGTATGATAATTGCTGAATTAACAAATATTTTTAAGAATATTCGAACAAAAAGTGTCTAAATCAAATATTTTTGAAATTAATGAAGTTTTCAAAGCAGATGTTTATTTTTCTTAATCACAGATGAAGGACGTGAGTCAAACTAAGAACTCAATGTACCAAAAAAGCTGATCCTACTTTTATAAGTCAGGTAATCAACATTGACTGCTGATTCTTTTTCATAGCTGAGGTCCTTCAAGTATCAACAAACATTTTATATCACCGTTCTATTACAGATCTTTATGGGTCAATAGACCTAAGTGTAATGATTATAAGTAATACAATTTTTTTAAAAATACTCAGGTAATAATGAAGATCTGAAATACTTTCCAAGAGCCCTAAAAAAACAACTTTTGACTTGAAAGTCTATTGAAACCTGATTTAGATTCATCGAAAATAGGTTCATAGGTTGCAAAATTTACAAAACCTTCTGAGATATTCAAATCTGTTTCAATTGATAAATGTTAAATATCGCTTTGATTGGCTCATGTTGTTACAAATAACGACTATTTCACACTTATGGATTCATAGTTTCTACCAATGCATGAACAAGACATTTTTACCGAATACGGAGTTTATTGTGTTCTTTCTAATGACACAATTTTAAACTTAAAACTCAATTTGAACACATCAATACTCATGTGACCTCAAACAAATATTATATTTGGAAACAGCATAAAAAACTGGGTCGATACGTGCATGTTTCGAATTGTTTCTGCGACCTTTTTCTTTGTCCAATGGTAACCCTTATATTCTTCCTCTAGTATGGTCACAAAATGAATTTCATCAAACAATCATTTAGGTGGTGAAAACGAAGTTCTATGCTTATTTTAGCAACCCAAGGGAATACCTATTAGATCCTTATGTGTATTGTGTTATTATGTACTTACGTTTAATGTTTTTATGTCCTTAAAATCTGTTCTTAACCATGCCATGCACTTTGTCCTTAACTTTGTCCTTTTTCACCTGTTTTACATTTAATCCTATCCCACGATCCTATTATCTTTACGAGTTCTTCTCTCTCTTGGAGGTGGTATAAAAGGACTAAAAAAATACATGCGATGTATGATTTTTGATACACAAATAAACATCTATTATAACCATTCGTGTAGTGCTTCTACTATCAGAAATCGTCACACTTATCAAATGCTTTCTAAAGACAATACAAGAGGTGTCTAAATATTCAAATGATTATTTTGATAAAATTCGTTTTCCAATATACATCCTTGAGGAGGATCTTCGGGTCAAAATTTGATAGAAAATAAATTCGCAGAAACAAATTGAAAAATACACATGTCCACTCAATTTTTTGTGCTGATTTCAAATATGATGTAGGTTTAAAGTCAAGTGGCTATTTTTATCTTTGAAAACCGTAAAATGTAAGTAAAAAAAGGAGACAAATCGGATTCCAAGTATAATTGTTAGAGCACGTGTTTTATCAGACATTGAATTTCAACTTTAAAATATTATCATCAAATAGAACACATCGAACTCTACATTCGATAAGAAAAATCTTGCTCATGCACCCGTGGACATTGTCACTTCATACAACTGAAACAATCATTCTTTGTAACAATGTTAGCAAATTGAGAAGATATTTAACATTTATCGATAGAAAAAAAAAACACTTGAATATCTGAGAAATTCTAATAGATTCTGATAGAAGAAAAGTTTTTGCACCAAATGAACCCATATTTGACGAATCTAAGTCGAATCTTAATGAATGTTCAGATCAAGAGTCACTTTTAGAGCTCTCGGAAACTGCTTCAGATATTTATTACTATCAGAGTACCTTTGGAAAAAATGTGATTCTTGCCACTAACACACTTAGCTCTATTGAACAAGAATGACCTCACATAGAATAGCGATAAAAAATATTGGTTGATATCTGAGGTAAAATTCAGGTGTAAAAGATTCAGTTGTAACAAAATTCAAAGACAAACTTATGAAAAATAGTCGCCGTTCAAAGCTTAAGTTTAGGCTAATTACATGATTTCAACTGTTTTGGTACATGAAGTCTAAAATTTGAAACATTTCATTTCATTATCTCATCAGAATTATGCCATAATAATTGCCATATTGCTCGAATATAATACAAAAACGAATATTTCCATCTGTTGATATTTTCAAACAATCATTTTGAAACAATAACGCATTAAAACACATAATACTAATTTCTCTTAGTTTTCCTTTCATAAGAAATCGATTTTATTTTTATATGAATTTTGTTTAGTAAGTAAAGTTATTTTAAATCAAGCTATCAAAATAATTTAATGTGATCTACTTGTTTAGAAGATACGTTCTCGATGAAAAATAGGTAAGATGTATTTGATGATTCCTTTGTTGTTTTTGATAGTAAAATATATTTCCTACATTGTTTGGTGATTGTTAGGAAAAAATGTCAAAAGAAAGAAGATATTATTTGGTACGTACAATCTATATTCAATAGACTCATTAATCAAGGAATAAAAACTTTGTCGGTTTACAAATATCTTTTTTCTTCATTTCTTTGTCATTAATAATCAAACTAGAAAATAATTGCTTTTTTGTTCATTTCTCATCGTGTGACTAGAGGTATTTTGTCAACATGATATGACATTAGAATCTGATAGACATAGACTAAAAAAGAAAAAGTGAATATAATAAAAGTTTCTTCGAAATTATATTTTTCATTGTTTTTTTCTATCCACATTGACATGCACAAAAATACTCGAATGAAATAACTTTTCACATGATGCTAATTCTCTCAAAAAATAGTCAATTATATAATTGTATCGAGGAGAAAATGTGTTTCAATTACCAAAATTGTCTAATTAGAATATGATCATCCATGGTGTGGATGAAGAGAAGATTTCATTTGTACTCATACCCGCACTTTCTTTCATTCATTATAAATTTGGTGATGAAAAAAAAATGCTCATTCAATGTATCTATGCATCCATAGCTTTTATGTTACCGATTAATCGGCAAATAAATCACTAGAGAGAGAGTAGCAAAAACACAATTTTATACTATCGGATCCATATTTTTCAATGAATACTTCGACAGAAATAAAACTAATAATATCTCAATTCATATATAATGTTCGTTTACACTTCATTGCTTTTTTTTTTTAATTTTTTACACGGCAAAACAAAAAATGAAATTATTAATCGATTTAGAATTTTAGAAAGTAGTATAATTCAAATCTTTTCTGATGTTTTATTTATTACTTCAATTGACATTTGTTGACCGAGCAGGCGAAAAAAATAGTGGGAATTTAAAAGGGAAGAGATACAGAAAAAAACCATGTCAGTGAATAAGTGTGATAAAGAATACACACCTAAATTCACAAGTGATTTGTATAAATCTGATGTTAGGAAAGAGAAAGAAAAGAAATATTTAGTATTTGTCTATTGATTCTTTTTAACTTGTTTGTCTACGTTTTCGTCTACCCATAAGTAACATACGATTGCGTACACAATCAGCATACTCCTGGCCACGACCAGTAGCTGGCATTCGATTGCATGGTTTTAAAATTTGTTCAAAATCGGCCGTTTTCTTTAAAATGAAATGATCATTATCATAGGGTTCATTTTTATAAATCGGAGAACGAAATAATTGTCGACTTGGACGATTTGATTCTTCAAATCGATCGTATTCATTGTTAACATTATCCATCATTTCTTGTATTTCTTGATTCGATGTAGACAAGGCCAATAATGGAATGATCAAAGCCATGCATACGCAAATGAACATTGTATTTGGGATACTCATATTTTGAAATTGTTTTTCTTTTTTTAAAATATAACCGTTATCTAAAATGATCAAAAGTACAATAAGAAAAAAGAAAAAAAAAAGAAGTCGAGAACGTATTGCAATTATTCCTAATATCAATAGACTATTATCGGTTCTGTTCAACTACTCAGTTGTTTCCTTTGTAGCTCAACAAGATAGGATCTTTCTATTCTTTTTTTTTTTTCTCAATCGTTAATTCAAAACTACAGTAAGAAAATAAAGAGTACTATCGACAGGGAAGCAAGAGACGTACACAATACAATAAAACTCAAGAGTTCAATCGTTGTGATCATTCGTTGTCGATCCGTCGGCAAGAATGTAAAGACTATTTAACGATCTATAGGATGAGTGTTTAGCATCGTTTTCTCTTTCATACGACATGTTTATATGAACCGAAGTCACATACACATACACAAATAATTACTACATTGACATAGGCCAAGTATGAACTTGAAGAAAAAAATACAAGTGATGACGCAGATGACAAAGAAAAACAAAAGAAAAAAAATGAAAATAATGATTAATTCTCTATAGAACAAGTTAGCAATACAATAGAAAAAAAAACTAAAAAGAAAGGTAACATCATTCATATTTGTATCAAGGTTCTTGTAAATTAATATGCACTTTTAATCAAAAGATAAACAATCATCTTTCGGTACCTTACTTGTTCTTCGAAAAATATTGAGAATCTGATAGTACAGAGGCTTTCAACATCGCTAATTTATATTAGAATTTTGCTCGTCTGAAATCATTTCACTGCTCTTATCATTTAATAGTCTAATAGTTGCAAATGGCAGACAACAAAGACTATAAAATGTGACGTTGCCGTTCATAGAATATAATGAGTTAGCTCGAGGCATGCAAAAAAAGAAAAGTGTTTGTCACGAACCATTTACTTTACTGTAGAAATTTTTAATCCTATATATTTATAGATACAAGAAAAATATAACAGAGTGCTGGAGAGAGAGAAAACAAAACTAGGCTAAAGGAAAAAAATGAACAACTTTTTGACGGTTCAATTAATGGATATTGTAGGCGATGTCTAAATTGGTAAACTGGAAATAGATCTAAAGCGAATGAAGGAAAGGAAATGACTTCGACATCGTGAATTCCAGTGGTTGTATTATAGTCGCTTAAGAACATTTCCGGTATTGTATTGGTGAATGTCAGCTAGTTGATTAAATATAAGTTGAATTAGTTGAATACGTGTTTGATCATTTAGTTCATTATTAATGGAAAAATAAAAATATTGCTCATATTCTCGTACATATGTTGTTAATGTTTCAGTTATTAAACCACCTTGAGATTTATGTTCACTACATGCCCAAATAACAATCGTTTGATAATCAGGAATATTAGTTGTATTATTTAATGTCCATCTACGATTAAATCGAAATTCATTTGGTAGAATCGAAGATATTTCTGCTAATCGATTTGATGAATATATTGGTAATTGATTTAAAAGAAATTCGGAACCACCAATTATTGTAGGAATTTTTATATTCGTTGATTTATTTTGTTGCAAACGTTCTATTGTCTCAAGTGCCAATAGACCGGATGCTGTATGATGACCATGTGATTCTATACTTGGTAACATAATAAGCATTATATCATAACCTTGAGTATTATTACCAGTTTTAATTATTTGTTCAAGTAATTGAATAATTATTTCTTTGTTCCATTGTTCAGCAAAAACAATATCAACATTTCGATCATATTTTAAATCTAATTGATCAAAGAAAAAAAATTTTCGAATTCCTAATATTTTTCCACTTGCTAATAATTCTTGTTTACGTATACGTGGTAAATGTTGTCTACCAATACTTTCTTTTGACAACTGTAAATTATCATATAGATGTTCAGATGGTGCAGAATATTTGAAACCACCTTCACCATTAGTGATACAAACAAGATCAACAATAGCATTAATTTTATGTACTAGTGCATAAATAAAACCTGCAAACAAAGTTTCATCATCAGGATGTGCAATGACAACTAATACAGCTAATGTAGAATTCATGCTACAATGAAATTTTGTTTTATCTTCTGTTAAAATATTTGTAATATTTACTGAAAAGATTAGATATAAAAGCATATCATATACATGTTCGTATTTTTTTTTTGTTCTGATTAGACAGAACTACAGAGAGAAAAAATACAAAATAACTTTTTTAATAAAGAAAAAAAAAACGGAAACGCTATTTTTATTGTGCATTTTGCATGATTGAATGTTCGATAGCCATATTGAGTGCATCACGTGCACAATCATAAATAAATCGATATTGTTGTTCAGTTTGAATAATACCACAGCGTTGACGTCGACATTCTTTAGCCATTGAATAAATATCTAATGTTCTTCCACGTATTGTTTTAATTAAAAGTAAACTTATTAACAAAGCACATCCTGTTCGTCCAACACCTGTATTACAATGAATCAATAATGGTGTATCACTTGTTTGATATGAATGTGCTAAATGTATAAGACTAAGAAATGATTGTGTATCATGTGGCATATTATCATCCATAGGCCATATAGTATATGCTAAAAATATAACTGAATGTTCATGTTTATGATGTGATTGTTCACTAATACGAATACGAAATTCTTTTATATCAATACCACCATCGAATTGACGATGTTTTATTAATGTTAAAGATAAACTTAAAAAAAGAACATGTATATGGACAAAAGAAAAGAAAAAGAATTTTTCTCTTACAATGGTGAAAGTGTCATTGTTGCTTTAATAGTTGTTGGCCAATAAATAGGACATTTCATTTTTTTTAAATCTTGTTCATTAAATATACCAATCATAGATTGAACACGGTGTTCTACAATCATTTGCCAAAAATCATCTAAAATATACAAAAAAATTTTTTTTTTTCTATTTATAAAGAATAAAACAAATTATACTGACTAATACTATCAGGTACTGGTGGTGGACAAATAATATATTTCATTGATTTATCTCCAATAGGTATTGCTATATGACTTGCATTAATATAATCTGGTTTTGTTGAAAGTATAATACGATTAAAATCATATGGAACTATATTTTGAAAACGATTCAATGCTTTATTTTCAGGTTGCATGGCTATAGAAGTTAATTCAATTGGTTCATGCTCATTGATAGTTTTTAATGCCTAAAAATATTTGTTTTCGCAAATTTTTATTTTTCATTGTATAATTTAAAGAATATTTACTCGAAATTCTTCTAAATATTCATCAGAATCGATTTTTATATCGATTTCACGACATTCATCCATTAGTGTTGTTGTATCCATATTGATAGCTGGTGTACTAATTTTATCGATTAATTGCGTAGTTAAATTTTCAATCTTTTCAGTAACACCAGCATTAAGTATTAAAGTTTCATTGGATGCAGCTTGCTAAAATGAAATTTAATGAAAATTATTAATTTATTAAAATTAAATTAAATCGATTAACGTACTTCATAATATTGTTTTCGTTTAGCAATTTCATTTGATTGAGATGCTAAAAAATATATTTTTGAAATGAATTGATAAGAAACTTATTTATTTACTTGATAATGTTTTTGAATGAGTTGGTGGTACTTTTAATTCAAGTATTGTTGGCAACGGTGCTATAGGTGATTGAGGACTCATTAATGGCGTTTTTATATCACTTGTATCTTCATCAATATCTGTATTGGAAACTGGAGAATCTTTTTTCTCTTCGTTAGTTGATTGGTTTTTATCTGTTATCGTTTCAAAATTTGCTGATGGTACTGATTTGATTTTTTTACCAATCAAAGCTTGTAATGCAGAACCTGGTGGTAAAGATGATAGTACAGCAGTAGAAGTGACAACAGCGCCCGTTGAAGATGACGATGATGTTGATATGTCAATAGAATCAGGTGTTAAAGTCGTAGCAGCAGCTACTGTTTGTGTTTTTTCAGTATTTATTAATGGAAGTAATTTTGGTTTTTCACGTGGTATCAATTTTTCAATAACTGATGAAGCAATAGCTGGTGATGTTTCTACAGGCATTGCGATTTCATCATGTGTCTGAAATATTTAAACCAAAATTTTTTACAAGATACATTTTAAATTTTATATAATCAGCGAATTAAATATTATATATCGCTAAGTAATTTACCGTGGAAATTTCTATATCCGAAATGATATTTGGTTTATTCGATGTTGAAGCATCTGTTATTGGTCTAAATTGAATATATAATTAGTGTCATAAATCATAATATAGAAAGTAAAATACCTAGCAATTATTAAATTAACACCTTTCTTTGTTGTTTCTTTTAATGCTTCGACAACTTCACGATAAGTCATTTGATCAGTATTTTGATCATTAATATATAATAACCGATCATCAATTTTTAAACGTCCATCTTTTTCAGCAATTCCATTTGGTTGAAGAGCACATATAAATATACCACCAAGTGTTTGTTGAGGATCAATTTGACTAAGACCAATACCATACGTTCCCTGAGAAGCTTTAGGCAATGATATTTCTATTTTTTCATATTGCTAAAAATTCATAATCAATTAATTGATTGTATAACATAGAAAATAATATGGAATCTCACCACTGGTTTATTAAATAATTCAGATTTACTAGATTTAATAGGCATGACAGGTGATGGTGGAGCAGAAATGCTTGTTGCAGATTGATCCTATAAATACATATCATATATAACTTATTCTATGAGCCTCTAACCAAACAAATACACACACACACAATCATATTGTTAATTAGCGTTAATCTGTTTCAGAAAGTGTGATAAAAATAGAAAAAAAACAAAAAAGAAGTTTTTTTTTAAACACATGCGAGGTGCTCACAAACGAGAATAGAGAGTGAAAAGCATCACTCTCTAACTCACGCCAACACTTATTGATGCGTAGGATGTATTTTGTAATTGTCGACTTCTTTCTTTTGCATGTACAATTTCATCAATACGTGGTCGATAAATAATAAAATGCACAGGACCTGTTGGTGCATAACGAAGACGTGCAACAAGATCACGATGTGGTATTGTTTGACAATCTGCATCATTTATTGCTAAAATACGGTCCCAATGTTTTAATCCAGCTGATAGAGCAGGCTCACGTAATACCGATCGAATATGTGGATATCCGATCGATGTTGAACCTGCTGATAAGGTAAAACCAAAACCACTATCTTTTTCTTTGTTCATTATCACAGCAAACACCTAATGTGCGTTTGAAAAAGCGTTTCAATTATTGCAAGACAGTTAGAATCATTGCAAAAAAAAGGGGAAAGTAAATAAGAAATATAAGCTATTTCTGAAGAGTAATCATACACTGAATCTCTTTTCTTTCTTCCAAGCAGTTTTTCAGTGTTGACACTCTCAAATTTTATTTGCCCAGCATACGTTCACATTCAAGATAGATCTTTTACCTCACCACGTTTAACTTTTGTTGGTACTTTTGGCATCACACGTCTACTACCAGGTGATTTTGGTGGTAAATCACGAAGTGGATCCTTTGGAGATCGAGTTTGATCATTATACATAAATCCAGGCATAGTTGATCGACCTGACTGACTCAGACTATTCATTTGACGATCCTAATCGAATACAAAAAAGAAATTCATTTTTTTATTATGTCGATAAAAAAACGAAAGAAAGAATATAAACCAAATAAGCTTGATATTCTCGACGATCAGGTCGACAAACTACAAGTTTAACATTTGCAGATGATTCAGCAATTATCGATGGTACATCCTAGAAAAATATCTTTGTTTTATCTTTATATAAATCAAATAAACGTACTCGAACATTGCGATTATGCATAGAAACATCATTAATTGATAAAACAATATCACCAATATTTAATTGACCTGATAAAGCAGCTGGTTGATTTGGATAAATATCAATAATTTCTACAGGTCTACTTTCAGCTACTCCACCTGATAAACTAAGACCTAAACCATTAGGACCACGATTGAGAAAAACTTCAAATGTATTCTCTAAAATAATCATAGCATATATGTATATAGTACGTTTAATTATTAATTTAAATTTTATACCTGAACGAGCAAATGGATAAATTTTGTTTCTTGATGATGAACGTAAATTATTTGGAAAAATAAGTCGTTGAACAAGTAAATGACATTTTGGTCCTGTTGCTCGACGAAATAATTCAACAGCTTCAGAATGTGTTACACGTGCTAATGATGCACCATTTACTTCCAAGATTTTATCACCTAAGAAAAAGAAATACTTCTCATCCAATACAAAATAATTCGAGTACAAAAAGACAAAAATGATTAACCTTCCATTAATAATTTTGATTTTGCAGCAGCACCACCCGGTGTTATACTCTTAACATAAATACCATGATCTTCAATTTCTGAATCAAGACCACCCTTGGAAAAAAATTATATTCTGGTTTCTTTTTTCTCTAATTAACTAAAACATTGATTACATACAACAACAAGAAAACCAAGACTATTATGACCCGATTTATCAATAGTTACAGGAAATACAGCACTTTTTATATCATGTGCAGTTGAAAGATCAGATGCTTGTGTCAGAATACTTTCATTCGATAGAACACGTTTTGATGGTATAACATTTGAAAAATTCTCATGTGACCATGTTGTCTATAAATATCAAAAAACAACAAACAATTCAATATCATTTAAAAAATAAAATAATCATAATACTAAAGTATTTGATGAATTTTTATTATGTTTTTGTTGTTGCAGAAAAGAATCAGCATCAACACTCATTGGCCGTTGTAAATAATCTCGTCGATTTAATGTTGGAATTTCATGTCTTGACAATTTTAATCGACAAGGATTTGGTGATAGACTAAGAGCCTCAGCTACTGCTTGTACAGTCATATTGTTAACATTTTTTCCATTGTATGATAAAAGTCGATCACCTATTTTAGTAATAAAATTTTTTTGAAATAAAAAAAAAAGACCTTTATTCAACTAGCTTTTTAACCTGTTTGAATTTTTCCGGATCGTGCTGCACTTCCATCAATTGGATGAACTGATTTAATAAAAATTCCGGATGCTAAATCACCCATAAGTGACATACCCAAACTATTATTACTATCTTTATATAAATCAACTTCATAAATAATAATTGAAGGTGAGTTCGTTGATGTATTCCTTGATCAATATTATAATGTATTTTTCTTTTAAGATAAATTATTTTATTAATAAAATCTTACTTTCCTAATGTACTTAAATTTTCATGTGATTGTGATCGGTTTTGATCAGGCTAAACTAGGAACAAATAAGTTAACGAAGAAAAAAAAATTTAATTTATTGATCATACATTCTGATCAACACTTTCGGCATCGGAGCCATTACGAACAAAGTCAACTGTATAATAATAAAAAAATTTTTACTTTTTTTAGAAGTCATTTTTATTACACTTACTTTCACCAATCGGTTCATTTAATAAGCTATATCGACTATTATGACGAAGTAGAATGGATTTTGTATATGTATATGTATCATAGCATAAATTAAATAAATGTTTTCCTCTATAAAACAATTAAAAAGAAAAGAAGTAAAAGAGTTTTAATTAAAAAAAAATGTAAAAAAAATACTTACTTTTTACTATTATTAGTTAAATATTTAATTTTTCCTTCATTTATTTGACGTTTAAGTATAATAGAAAATGATTTTTTATCATAAGCTATTCGTTCAATTTGATCCCAAATATAGGTTAATTTTGTTTGTCGTTGTCGATTTTTTAATTGCCAAATTGATATATCTCGTAAACGTATACCCACAAGATATATATCATCACGTTTTAAATCTTTATATAATTTATACATATGATAACCATAATTGTCTATATAAACATAAAATAATTTGTTTTTCTTTTCGTACTAAATTATTTTATAGATTTCCTAAATTTATTCTTAGTTAATTTTCAACTATGAATAAAATAATATCGATCTGAGTAAAGAATAACTTCATAACTGCAATTCTCGATCATAAGTAGTAAATCGTATGAGAGGATATAATTTGAAGTAGTTGTTGTAATAAGAAACGATACTTATTTTGCAGCTATATGTATGATAGAAAGATAAACAAAATCTTTCTTCACGTTCGACATAGGCTCACAAAGTTCAATTATAAAAAAATCAGAAAGTTTATCGTAAAAACCCAGGACATTTTTATTTGAAGTTAGAGAAGCACGTAACAATTTTTTTCTAGGACAAAATAGATTCATTATATTAAGGATTTTTATCTTAGTCATATTAGAATAGATAGTAGAAATATTTTCTTAAAAATCATCTCAAATGCAATAGAGAGATAATGATTAAAACTGCCGTCATTCATTTAGGGGTTGTTCATTGAACTATACAAAAAGAGACAATAGAACGGAAAAGTCAATTCATAATCCAATATAAACTAGACAAAATAAATATACATGAAAAAATGCTATTTCCGTTTTGATTTATGGCAATTTTAGAAACAAGCGAACAACAGCAGACTTAAACAAATCTGCATTAAACTTCAAGACGGAGGTCATAAGTGCTCTGCGTCTTTTAGAATATGACTGTATTGTTTTGAGAGGACTCTATTTTAAGAAATACCATTTGCTTAGAAAAAAAATTACAAAGCTGGGTACAATAAGTAGTCAATATTTACTTTTATCTTTTAATTCTGCTCTCATTACCTAGGAAAGTTCTCCAAGTGTGAAATCATTTTTCAAACGAGAGGATGTTCATTTGATGAATACTAGTGAGTAATAAAACAGACTAGAATAATTTGATTTTCTAGATCTTCATTCTTAACATATTGAAATTTTATTGGATTTTTCAAAAAAATCTGTGGCCCACTTCAGATCAAGCAAGAGTTTTGACTTCATCAAAGTTTGAAATCGAAACTCTCACGTGATCTAAGAAAAGTCACAGGCTTTGTTGAAAAACCTAGGAAAACTTCCATGTCTCACGAACGAAGTTTCGAAAAATCAAACTATTTTAGATTTTTCTATTAAACCCTAGCATTAATCAAATGAACATCATCTTGGTTGAAAAGTAAGACGTGTAGTATTCTGTTTTAGATTTTATCTATAAAGCATTTTAGGAGAGTAAAAATATTACGAAAAATACAATGTTCATTAAAAATACGACAAATCAGTTCTGTTTTTCTTTTTGTTATCGATTCAAAATGTCTCTTAACATTAAATTAAAAACTTAGAAGTCAGAAGAGTTGGTAAGTCTGATTTGACATGCATCAAACCATCGAAGATCTCTGAGTGAATGATTCTTTTTTATTCAGATTCAATTAATACTAATCATTTGTAACTTTCTCATATGATACTTCATTCGATTATTGTGTAAGAAAAAAAACAAATCAAATATTATACCTAATTTCATCACATTTTCTACAAACGATTGTTCCGCTTGTACATCATTTAATTCAGCATAAAAATGTTGTCGTTTGATAATTTCTTGTCTTAAATTTGGAATACCATACTAAAATTAACTAAACATATGAAAAAATACCGTTATTTAAATAAGTTTCAAACCTGATTAATTAAATCATTTGATGCATAATGTTCAACAATAAAGTCAGTTGATAATTTATCATTATTATTTGAATCACCATATTCAGCTTGATAAGCTAATGTTGCAAATGATAATTTTTGTTCATTTGTTGTTTGAAATGTATCAGCAAGAATCATTTGTCGAAATTGTAAATAAAAAAAATGTTGTGTAAGAAAATGTCTAAGAAATAAAAGAATTCAATTTTTTGTTTTTTATTCTACTAAATAACGAAATAAAGGAACCTAAGTAAAGCAATATCATTAACAAAATATTTTATTTTTAATTGCATAACAAATGTTGTTTGACCAGTTTTCCATTTTGAATCATTTATTAATTTCGATATTTTAAGATCCATTGCAGGAAAAAAATATTCACCATCTAAATAAGAAAATTTCATATTAATAAATTCATTAGAATAAAAATCAAAAAAACAAATTAACCGATTAGAATAATAAGACCAAAGAGATCATGTTCAATTAAATCAACATAAGTTACAATTGTTTCATAGATAATTCGTACAGTAGCATCTGATTTACAACAAACTTGTACGCGATTATTATTTGGAAGAAGAACAACAACTTGACATATGCATTCAAATGGATTCTTTTTTTAAAATAGTAAAAGAATAATGTTCATTATTAAATCAATATTTCACTTACTCGACTAGGAACTATGATTTTTTCAGCTTTACTATCAGATTGTATAACAAATTCAGGTCCAACTTGTTTCTATTCAAAATAAAAACAAATTAATTCTTAGATTATTAAAATAAATTCGTAAATTGTAATTACACATGAAAAAACGTAACTATCAAAAAACCAGTTTTATTTTCCAACACTTTATACTGATTGATAGTATATAATAGTTGAATTCAGCCAGAAGAAGAAAATAACTTTCTTTAAAACGCGAAATATACTCAAAGAAAAGAATCCTATCTTGGTTTATTCAGTACAACAAATTTAAACATATCCTATTATTGATTTGTGTTATAAAACAACTAATGATATTGATGACAAATATCGCGTTCACTAATAAATTATATTGAGACTCGAATGCTCAAAAAAACTTCTTATAATTTTAATAAGAAAATAAAAAATCTTTTATTATATCGAACTATTGGCATTGATAAAGCTTTGATTTATCTCTTTCATCTTGAAAATATTTTTCGCCTTTATTTTTTCCTAACTAGATACAAAAAAGTAAACTTACAATTGAATATAAGCATTTACAAAACCTTATTACTACATTCTTTTGAATTTAATCAGGTAATCAACTTTATAGTATTACTAAAACAAATAGGATAAAATTTCATTAAATTAATTAATGTGTTTCATATATAATTCCTATCAAATAATAATGAAATAAAGTAAATTAAAATCATAAACTTCCAGAAAAAAAGTATCCTTCACTTCTACATATTATTATCTCCTATTTCACTACCAAAACTTAAACTGGACAGTAATATAACGGATCATCTATAAAGAATGTCCAGGTAAAAATGACATTTTTTAACTCATCCTTGATATGGAACAGGATGCAATCTCCCGTGCCACCATGAGGTGACACTTGATAAATTGATTTGAAGATGAATGAAGATTCACTGATGTATTTTATTAAATGATTATAAACAGGAATCAATACTCACCCAGACGAAGAAAAAGAGAACGTACGTGGCAGAACGTCCGATATTAAAAAAAGTCTTTCTAGAAAGAGTCTGCTGACTAAAATATACCACTTTCTTTTTATTAAATAAATATATCAAAAATAGAAATGAATATACACACATCGCAAAAACAAAAAACAAAAAAAAGTTCGATACCAATGCCATTCGAAGATCTCATGTAACTGCTTCATAAAAGAGCTGCCTGCTCATATATCGTAATCTTTAATTATTTCAACACCATATTCATATTCAACTGATTCATTTAAAAATGCACTTCAAAATAAGCTAATGATGAGAGCATTTGAAATTATTTACCACTTTTGGCTCCGTACTTGGTTCACAAGTAGCAAATCTGTAGACTGTGAAAAGGTCAGGATGATATGGGCCCATATTGTGATTTGACTGAGATAGAGAAGTGTTCCTGTAGGGCGCTAGTTTTTCAGCAAAACCATATTTTCGAACTTTAAAATGAAACTTTGCACATGTCGAACGAGGAATTAGGTTAGCTTGTACAACAAATCTTAGAACTATTCCACGTAGCATAACTACAATGATTTTACTGGAAAATCAAGGTTCTACATGAAGATTTCAGTAAAACTTCTCTATCTCACCCAAATCACAACATGGCCTCATATCATTTGGGGCTTTTTCTAGTGTAAAGGTTTGGCACTTAGAGGGAAAATATAGAGCCAAAAGTGATGCATCACTTCGAATGAATCCTTGGTAAGCTTGAAAATTTCTTCAAAAGTTGTGTGAAATTATAATAAGTGCCTTGACATGTAGCAATCTTTGACTCATTCCTCTCTTTCCATACCAGTCCATCTTCCCTTTATCTGGACGTTTTTTTATGGATGATCCCTCATATGATGAATATTAAGTTTCAACCAAAATAAATAATTACTATTTACTCGAAAAAGCAATTTTCGTCGTCGTTTTCGATAGACAGAACTATTTAATGAAGCATTTAGATCAAATAATGATGATTGATTTGTTGTATCAGCTCTGTAAATCCAAATAAGAAAATAGATTATCTGTTCTTATTTTCTTCAATTAGTAACTTACAATGCTGTTGGAGTGAGATCAGGCATACTAACTGATGATTTTCGATTAATTGTTGTTAGTTCTTTATTCACTGATGGCGGCTTTTCTGGTTCGAGAAAAACATTAGCTAGAAATATTCAGAAATTTTTATTCGGTTTTTTTAACAATAAAAAAAAAATCTGCTTACGAAGTCTTCGTTTTGCTTTAAGACGTTCTCTTAATTGTAATAATTTTATTGTATCTTCATTAGTTAAATCTTCCGGTAAATTAAGTTGTGCTCGTAATTGTTCTAATTTTCGTTTTTTATTTAATAAACGTTTTCCTCTTGTAATAAATTCAGTATTATTTTCAAATATTTGAAATAAATCCTCAATAGCTGAATGAGATGATAATTGAGATTGATCATTTGTTGACATTGCTGCTGATTGAGAAGGAATTTGTGGTAGATAACGTCTTGCACTCATTGAATTATAATTATCGTGATGATCAATAGCTTGATCGAGCAAATGTAAAACGTGCTCGTCAGTGAGTTCCTAATTGAAAGAAAGGAAGATATCATCAATCTAACTTTTGTGTGACAGATGTACAATCGAAGGTCATCTGTTGACAATTCAAGAAAAGAATGAAAGGATAGATGTTGTATATATAAAATTAGGTAAACAAGTCTGTTTTTTTCTTTGCTATAGAATGATGTACTTCATTTGGGTGTGCACAACACTTCGAAAAGACAGACAGAAAAAAATTTAAAGTAGCTATGATGTTGACTACAATAAGGTGCAACAGCTGGCAATAGCAAGAATGCTTTTTAGAGGTGGCAATAAGCAAGTCAAAAGATGGGAAAGAGGGCGTGAGAGAGAGAGAGAACGAGAGAAATGAATATGTGCATGCGCATGTGTATGTATGTGTAAGTACCTTCGATTCACATTTCACAAATGAGAAAAAAGAAAGAACACTGGATGGGTTTTTTTTTGAATTTCAACGAAACATATGTATGTATATATAGGTATACATGTCGAAGCCTTGATTTACGTTCAACAAGGGATTTGTTTATGATGTCATTCGTCGAGAAAAGATTGGTAACATGTATATAATTTTGAAAGGCTTCGTGTTAATCAATACAAGTAAAAGTATAGAAAGAAAAAATAATCATCCTTTGATTTATCTTTTATGTAAATATATTAAATTTTTATTTTATTTCAAAATAAATTTCAATACTTGTTCATACCATTAAGGAATTAATATCACCACTACCATAGCTTGAATTCATACTTCTACAATTACTGTTGAAACTTCCATTACGAGACCATTTTTGACTATCATCATAATACATTATATCAATGTTAGACAATTTATTCTAAATATAGTTCTGAAACAATGATGATATTTTTAGACACTAGAAAACATAGAAACCCTAAATTTTAATGCATAATAAAAATTGTTGTTTGTTTTAATTTTATAAATTGAATCTTTTTTTGCAAGGTATCTTTCAACTATTGAATATTAATTTAAGACAATCATTCATTGGGATTGGTTAAAGACACCATAATATTGAACGTTGCTATGTAACGAACTTTAATATGATGATAAATAGTTTATAATTACCTTAAAAACTTGAAAAAATGAAAATACCAAATAAACTAATATTTTTAGCATTTGGAAGAAGAAATAATATAGAACATATATTATTCACATACGCCACCTCTCGATATTGCTAATCAATTGAACGATTTTTATATCATTTCTACGATACTGAATTCAGTATTATTTTGTTCTTAATCGAACTTACAATAAAAATAGTATATTAACCCTTTCAATCCCGACATTTTCTCTCATTCTATACAAAGTTGAAGAAAATCTAGGTTTCTGTCTCTCTCGCGTTCTCCTTTAGATAATCAGCTGCAAACGAATTTTAGCCACACTAGTTCAGTGTGAAAAAAAAAATTTTCACAGTCAAGAACACACGCTATTCTTTGAACACACATATGACCTATATCATGTAGGAAGACGATAGAACGCAAAATTTCTATATTATGATATGCATGTTATCTACGAGATGACATTCGGGATTGAAAGGGTTAATAGTCGAAATTTTCAGATATAACGAGTCAATTAGCATACTATAGCTGAAATAAAAACAAATGCTTTTTTGTCAACAATTATGTTCTTTTTTAAGGTCATAATTGTTAGTTACCATTGAAAAATATTCAAGTATCTTCTATAGAGTATTTTCATTTGAAACACATGTTTTGACAATAATTTTGATTTTTCGTCGACTGGTTTGTTTTCTTCTTTGAAACATTTATTAATTCCATACCTATTCGTGTTTATTCAATAACATGCTGTGTCTTATATTTTGCGAAAGAAAAAGATGTTAAAAAATCATGTTCAGATATTGATAAAAGATTTTCCATTCTATTTCTTTTTGTACTTAGAAAACAGCTCGGTCAACTCTCTGTGAATATGATGAATTCAAAATAATTTAGACTGATTTTGATGCCATGTAAGAACAACATAAGTACGAGGGTGAGATGCAATCGTAATTAACGGAATATTGATTTTTTTGAAACGTTGTTGCAGTCATATATTAAGAAGCATAAGATTTTTTTAATTTTTTCTTTTCTGTTTTGATACTACACCCTTGATAGGGGTGTTCACAAATATAAAGTTGTTTTTTCGTTCTTTCCAAGGTCAAATGTGAAACTCTCGAAAAGTGTAGTTCCACTTCTTCTTATCACTATAGCACAATTAGGAAAAAATTTTCTTTTTCTTTTTCAATACACTACTACAAGACATCTACTAGTTTATAGTCTCCGATTTGCCCACTAAATATACATTTTCTTGTTTCAATTAACTAAGCGAGAAGAAGAAACAAGATTAGATAAAGATCACGCGTTTTTGTAAAAAAGTAATTTGAAAGAAAAACAACATAAAAATATGCGAGAAAGGAAGAAAGGTAAATTTCATAGTCCGTCTCTGAATCAATAACTGATGCATACAATTGATTCATTTTTACATGAGCAAGAAAAAAATACCAACGTTTTTGTTTTTGCTTTCCTTCTCACTTTTTATTCAAACATTTAGTAAACGCAAAATGAAAAACAAATTGCCTATAAGAAAAATCTAGATGGCTTGAGTCTTTGCTTTCTGTCTGCACGTCATTAATAGTGATGATTCATTGACAAGAAAAATACCCACTCGCAACAAACGCCTTTATATATGGCTTGATATTTGTAGAAAAATGCACTGGGTTTTTTTCTAGAACATACAATAGCAATGTTTTTCTTCTGACAGCTTGCGTAAAGCATGTTATTAAAATAATTCATTGTTGACGAAATTTTTTCCAGTTTTTTTCTTATCTTTTCTATTGACTCTTGCTATTATTTCAGAACCTTAATGAATCATCTCGAATATGCAAATGATATATAAATATTAATTCTTATAGTTATTTTGCTCCTATTTTGTCGACCCATAGTTAAATAAAGTGTTGCTTCACCGTAAAAATAAAGAAAACGTTATCTAAATTTCAATCTTAAAATCAACTGGAAAGCAACCATGACCAAAATGCAAACTCGCAGATACCATGCAAGCTAATGAAACAACATGTAAGTACAATTTAATACAATGAATATTTCTTTCAAAAAACACTTCTAGAAAATATATATCGTCATTATCCGCCTACATTGCTTCTATGCGTAGTACAAAATGCATGAATGTGAAGGCAGCGTGTGTTGTATAGAGCTATTTGACAAAGTAAACTTACATCAGCATGAGTTAGTCATATTTAATTGTGCAATATTTTCATGACGATGAAAATTTTATTAATGATGCTTATAAAGTATGCTTTATGACAGAATAGCGTCATAAGTTAGTTTCCAATTATGAGTTAAAGTAGTTTATGTAGAAGTATTCCATTAGCCATGATAGAAGTTTTAATACAGTAAAAAACAAAAGCCATAGCAACATGTTGAAAAAAAAACCAAAACATGTTGTTGATAGATACTTTTCTGTAATATAATACGAGCTCTTTTTTCTAGTTTAAATCAACCTTTCAAATAGGACTCTGCAAGTCTTAAGGAACAACCATCTTTTCACAAATATCTATTCTTTTATGAAAAAAATCACAAACTTTTTTGCGGCAGATGGATTCTGCACCACGTAGTAATTTTACTGTGTTAATTGAGTATAGTACACAGTGATGTTGGAAATATTAAACGCCATTGTCAGTATTACAACAATAACAATCAATTATTTTTTTTTAAAGAATATTAAAGAAAAGTAATATAACTTTTATCTGATTTTACACAAGGTATCTAGGTACTCTTTTGTGTCAAATATATCTGAAGAAACAGCAGCTTAAATAATAGATTTCTCACAACGGTAGAGGTTTTGTTTGATAATACGATATGCATTGCCCCATTTACTGAAAAAACTCTTAACTATATGTTTCTCTAAGACTATGTTGCGAGCTGATTTTGAACTGTTTTTAATAAGAAGCTGATTCAGTACTGAATCCGTTCTCATTCGCAGTTTCTTAGTAGCAATCCGACTGTACGAAAATGGTCCAAGTAATGACGAAATCTGCGTCAAAATTTCAGTATTAAACGACCCATCTATAAGCTAGAGAAGCTGATAAAGAAACTTGCTTCAGTTCTGTAGGAAGTGGGTTTTTTCCCACAATTAATATTGTTTGATTCACCGAGAGTATCATGAGTATATTTTATGATGAAAGTAAAGAAAAAAGAATCATGAATTTGATTCTTATTAAAGTTATAAAATACAAGACGAAAAAAGTAATATTTGCTTGCATTCGACAGAGGTTAAGAATCATAGGGTGGACACGAAATTCTTCATGAATATTTAGTCTTATAGGAAGGTTTTTTTTGTGTACTAACCCATCTTACGTAGAGTTCTATCTTCAAATTATCTGTAAACATTACTAATGAATAATCTATTCTTTTATTTTAGTGTAATTGATAATTAAGTCGTTCAACGAATAATAAAAACCAACTTCACAATTCTACTATTCATATAAGATCGAATTATGTGATTGATGTTGAATCACTGATAAATTTAATAATGAAGATTGTGGAAATGTAATGTGTATGCTTACTGAAACCGGTTACAAAACGCCAACTAATTACTACGAACAACTATTTGGTCTTAGCTGAGAATCATTTAATGGTCAAATACCATCCAACATGACTAGCAAGACGTGAAAAACGGTAATTTTTTGATAGTGATCACGCAGATCTAACACACTTTTTCTCTCGTTGCAACGCATGTTAAATTATCTTCGTTTTGTTTGTTTAAAGTATTATTACGCTACTAGATATTCTTTCAGAAATACGAAATCTTACAGCTAACAAACATGTACCTATGGAGCAAAAGAATACCAGAAGTTTTGTTAAATTATCCATTGACTACATTAGGATAATTGATTGACTCTAGCCGAGCATTCTACGTGCTTGTTTGATGCACACTAGATGGATCTAGATGAGGATAGGGCATGTGATCAAAGTAGATGTTTTACATCTTTATGAACCCAAATTGAGAAAAATCGTACGAAAGTTATCGACAAATAAAATGATTATTTCAGGTTCATATGTAACTTAACTTCCAGGTTGAAATGTGGACAGTTGAAATAAGACAATATGTGACTTGATTGTTTTGATGAACCTTGAAATATGATTACTAGTCGGTGTTTTTGTATAGGTTAGACTCAGTTTTCGGTTTATGCTGATATCACTGACTCTATTGTTATCATAAGAACTGTGTATCAGACATTGTGGCAGATGTTTGTCTTGAGCATGATACATAACGAATGGTATTTGCTGAGGTATGTTCAGATTTCCAGAAAAGGAAATTAACCATATTTTTAAAATTTCCATCAACTCGATTACTATTTAGCAGTGTAAATTCAAAGTTTTTAGACATACTGAAAATTTCAGTAAGTATGTAATTGCGGAAATTTCATACATTTCGGCAATTACATCATTTTAGGAAGTAACGCATAATTCCGAACACAAATGCTTGAAATCTTCGAAACTTCCGAAATTTCCTTTTTCGGAATTCTGAACACTTGTATTTGCTCGATAGTACAAGTTGGAAGTGTTGACCACTGTTATAACGTCTATATCTCACTTATCGAATCACTACTGACTTAACTACTTGTCAATGACAGTCGCTGGCAGAGCGCTTTTATAGTTCGTGAGATCAAGGTTCCCATTGCTGAAGGGCCTCATCCGCTACGACTTCGGATGAGGGCCTTTCCCTTAGCGGGTGAGGCCCTTCTCAATTTTTATACAATTATAACTGTAACATTACATTCGGTGAGCAGCGATGCTTCTATATACGAGCGAAATATATGTTAATATATTATAGGTAGTTATTCGAGTTAGTAGATTACTTCTGTAATGAAGGTATTTCTATGTTGTAATATCATGTTTAGTTAGATATTGGTTTTTTGTTTATTATGATAATAGTTTCATGTTTTTTTTTATTTTATGTATATTTTTTAATGTATTGTGTTTTTATTTGAATAAAAGTGTCTTGCAATGAAATAATCCTGTTCTTATTATTGCAATTGTTATAGAAGAATTTTCAGCTTAGTTAATATTAAATTCAATGAAATTTGGGATTCATTTCATTGATATTTTTATCAATTGTTGAACTTTTGTATTTGAATCATTGAAGCAATGTTTTATCCAGCGTGGGGCTGAGGAAACGATACATCTCAGATGATCCTGTTGGCCTTCTCGGAGTTGTAGCACGCACTATGAATCTATGATTTCAAAAATCGATGCTTGTCTTTCGGGCGTTTTAAATTGCACCTCCGAAAGAGAGAACCAGGATAAAGCACTATATTAAAATAGTTAGTCTTGGATCACTATCGTATGGATTCAAAATGGAAATTCATATTTTATTGTCATTTGTCAGTGCAATGACACTTATCAATCAAATAATCTTGCAACAAACGTTGGTTTTGTTATTATGAAAGACTCATGTCTACCAATGTGCAACTGATATCTACGAAACAGTTTCTAACAATAGAAATGAATTAAATTATGGTGTTTTATAAATTTTTTATTAATACTTTTGCACTTAAAGTGTTGAAAATGTTCTTTTCGTGGAAGAAAAGAAAAATATTTCGATTATATCAACTTATGAACTTCGAAAAATACACTATAATTACTTTAACTTCGATTTTACAATCTTAAGTGTATTCATCGAAACTTTTCTAAAACATTATTATATACGAATTACTCTCATTTTGTATAAATCAAAGACGAACCAATCACTCATTAGTTGTTGATATTAAATAACTACGTAATATATTCTATGAAAATGTGCAATCGACAAAATAAATAATGTTTTAATTATAATGAAATTTGAATGTTATGAAAAGTAATGAATGCATCTAATGACTATTCAACATTAATGGCTAAACAAAGACGAAGAAAACATTGTAGATATGTTTATTTTTCAATTACACCAAAAATTTTTTTTACAGCAATTTCTAGAATAATTATCGAGTTAGTTAAATTTCATAGTTCACATTCATAAATATGTTCTTATCAAAATAAAAAATGATAGATAAAATAATAACATTGATGAATCTAAATGATTACTTGAGTTACAATAATCAGAATTACAACAATATATTTGAGTATTAGCAGATGATGTTTCCGTTGGACAAAAAAATACTGAACCTTTTGATATTAAACGACGATCATCACCTAAATTGACAACTGTTTTCTATGGAAAAAAAACATTAATATTTATTTTCTTCCTTTCATTAATAATAAAAACTTACAGTACATTGTGCGAGAAAATTCGTATTATTCGTTATAGTTACATATGGATAAGTTTCTATAAATGGTTCTGGACAATCTGTACATTGATAACACACGATCGAATTAACCATTTGAAAATCTATATAAATAAATATTAAAATTAAATTCTAATAAATATACAAATTACCAGATAAAAGAAATATTCCAATTAATAGTCGATGAACTTGTATCATACTGATTGACTGTAGTCGATTGCCTATCAATGATAAATTCAAGGTGAATAAACTCTTTTTTTTTCTTCTTATATGAAAGAAGTAGAAATTATTGTTCATTCATTTATCTTTTTCTTTTCATTGTAAAATAATGCCTCCGCAATAGCTAATAAATATATATATACATATTGTGTTAATGTTTTTTGTTGTACTTATTACATTTCAATTGTTATTATGTTTGATGAAAGAAGAACTATTACTTTTATTTACCCCTATTCTCTTTTTTTTTGTATTGTAAGGTTAATCGAATCAATATATAAACATTTAACATGGTATTTGATTAAATGTAAAAAGAAAAATGAATGTCGTGTTCATTCAAGTTCGTTACAAGGAAAAATAAATCAGTTAAAATTTATTTATTTTTTCAATTCAATCAATGCTTTTCAAAAATAGTGTTAGTGCAAACAAACGGAACATATTTTTCCGTAAGACCCAAATTTATCTATGAGCTTACATAAAAGAGATAACTGCGTTTGACGCAAAAAATCGAAATTATTTCGTCTACTTTTGTAAATACATTTGATGGATGTAGTCTTTTTTTTTCTCAGATTAAAGTAATTATTTTTTTTTTTGTTCAATGGAGTAACCTATTAAAAACATTCATTTTCATTGTATAGAATGTATTGATTTGATTACTAATGTATAGTCATAATCAAGCGAATAATATGTATAAATTGTTTATCATTGATCAGTACATGTAATAGTAAAGTGTAAGAAATCATCAGTTTATTGTTATTACTTTTATTTTTCTGATGAGTCTAATAATTTATATGATTTCGAAGAGTTATTCTATATTCCAAGTACTATTCTGTTTTAAACGAATAAGTTTTCGTAATCGTCATAAAGCTTCATTAAAGTTGTTTTTATTTGCTATATAAAATTATCAATTTTAAATTTTAATAGACAATTCGATACAAAACGAAAAATTAAAGTGTTGATAAGTATGCTAATACATCATAAATGATGAAACCTATTCTATTTATCAAATATTTGTAAAGAATATTAAATTATCAATAGTATTTCATCATCATGAAGTAAATAATTCGATTATACAATACTCATTCATTGTTTTACTGATCTTCTTTTTTATTTGGCTTTATTCAAAACATGATCAAATATATAGTTATGTACATTCTAATATTGTCTTTTTATTTTCTTAATGAGTAAATAATACTATAGCTATTGTTTTTTAAGTCTGAAAGTATTCAGATTGATAATAGATTTTCAAAATGATAAAAGTTTACTTTAATATTGTCTTTCTGTTCATTTATGTAATCGATTTAGTTGATGTCATCTATAGACAAAGAAAAGGCAATCAGGATTTCTCGCTTTTATTTATGTAGAACACTCTAATTATGAAAATTTTGTTACATCTTCATACCCTATAATAACGGAGTTATAGATATTTCAACATACGAACCCTCAAAACTCCTAAAAAAAATTCATCAGGACTATGATCGAAACCAAATCGAGAACGAGATAAGACTACATTTACTGAAACCAGTATAAAAAGCAATTATACTAGCATCAACAAGTGATATAAAGGTATATCGTTGTTGAATAGTTCTTCGTAATGGATCAAATTCATTGAAACATCTAGCACCTCTTCTATTACTTCAGTCTTTTATTCATTTTAAGTTCTTTTAAATTAAAAAGAAATAAAACAAGACAAGCACCACGTATTCCATGAATTGCAAAAATGTTCTCATCTTTATCAGGTAAACAAATCATCTGTTAAACAAAAAATAAGTTCATCTTCCATGACATCATCCCTTAAAGACATGATCTATATCCAATTTGTTTTCTTGAGGAGATGATATCATACTTGACAATTAGACTAAACCAATAGATCATAAAAGGTTGAAAAATAAAAATTGTAATTTCTGAAGCCACCTCATCAATATAAGATAGATTATCCTCGCATATTTCAATAGATCTATTTATTTTAAAACTACACTTAAAATACGAACGTTACAATGGCTTTTCGATCTTTTTCATATACATATATGTATAGATTTATATACAGAAACTTGATATTTAATCAATAGATTCTGATGGCATAGATCGAATACGACGACAACGACGTTGTTGTACAGTTCTCGTTGAATTCGATACAATTTGAAATAATGGTTGTTCATATTTAGCACGTAGACGGCGTTCAAAACGAAGAAAACTTTGACGTTGACGTTGTAGTTGTCGTTTTAATTGGCGAAAATTTAATCGTTTTTTTCTTTTTATAGATAATGATTGTCGTTGTCGTTGATGACGATATTTTTCTTTAAGTAAACGTGCTTCAATTTGTACTTGAATATTTTCATCAATTAATTTACGTGCTTCACGTTCAAGACGTTCACTTTCTTCTTGTAAATGAGCAGTTGTTGCAAGTAATTCATTTAATTCATTTTCTTCAAAAAAAAAAACAATTGAACAAAAAATTTTCAACAAAAAAATATATTTTTTGTTTATTGATACATACGAAGTTGTTCAATTAATTGATTATATTGGTCAGTGACGGTATTATCGATTTGACTTTGATCAATCTAATATTCAATATGTGAAATATCATAATTATAAATTTTTTTGAACTTACTGTTCGTTCTCGACACATTTTAAACTATCTTCAATCGTAGATCTAAATAAAAACAGTTCGTTTTTTTTTTGTTTATCAAAATATTCAATATCAATAGCCATCAGTCCTCTCTTTCCATTTTATTGCTATCATCATCATTTGCCTAGTATCGACTTGTCGAATACAACACATAGAATAAAGAAGACACAAATAACAACAAAAAAAAAAACACCAGTGAGAAACATGCAAAAAATAATAAATCTGGCAAATACAAACGACTGTTTTGGTCTTAATTAAAGAATAAATGTTTAGAAGACGAAAAAAATGAAAAGTACTGCCCGAATGGATACGCAATAGAAAGTGAATAATGACAAAAAAAAAAGACGAAAACTTAGTTTCTAATAATCAATTGATTGTATTTGAAAGTGGAGAAAAATCTGGCATTGGAAATTTTCTTGTTCTTTGTTTTTTTTTTTTTTCTTTTGAAATAAATTTATTGTCGATTATTATAAGAAAGAAAACAACGAGTATGTAATGATCGAAGTGCTTGAAGACGATTTTGCCATGGTGATATGACAAAAGGAATAGGTGATGATGAACGTTGACGAGCTTCAAGTTCACCTTGTTGACATAAGCATAATGCTAATGTACGAACATATGATGCAACATGTTCATCTGATAATAAATAATCAATATTATTTAATGATGTTGTGTTCACCATTGAAGAATTTTCTATTTTAATAAAAAAGAAACAAGAATAGATATTCTGTCGTTTGATTTACGTATGAGTCAAAAGGACAAGTTTTTAGTGTTTTGTTTTAAAATTTTATAAGATTATTATGTACAGTGAATATCAACATTGTTCAACAAGGTTAATTTTCAGTTTTTTTTTTCACTCCGTAAGCGCTACAAAGCGTTCAAATAGAGGTAGTTTTTTTTCAAACAGCTCAAACACGTAAATGTAATTATGCTTAAATCACACAAAAATAATTCTTTTTCAAGAGAGAAATCTTCAAGTGCTCTAAAATGTTTTTTTTTTAAGTTGAAATACAACAATTTGATTAAACATCGATTGTTTTCTGTGAGAGATATTCAAAAAAAAATGGTGAATTAAAATAATGTCTCTGAAAAATGGTTCTTAATGCTTTGATCTTTCGAAAAAAAAAATGTTCTTCATTATCAAATTATGCTTTTAGTGTAGAATTATAATGTTAATCATGTAATTTAATTTAATATAATGTATTAACTTTTATTATATTTTTCATTCACAGTCAAAGTCCATGTTATGAATCTTAGAAGTGTTGGCTTTGATGTTCTTATTTTTTGACACACACTCTCACATCCAATGCTTTTTAAAAATATTTTATTTTGATTATTTGTAAAATATATCTTAACATACTCATATAATTAGACGAATAATTACATTATCGGCTATTATGAGATTTAATTATTAGGCATAGACTTTTCGATTCTTTAATGTCATTAAGATACGGTCATTTTAAGCATAAAAAGTGGATGTGACTGTGTATCTTGTCTTCACAAGCAAAAGCTAATTACGTACGTGTTGTGTTAGTTTGATTTCGTCGTTTAAGTCGAACACGAGTATAATTTGAATTCATTTGTGGACAAACTTCAATAGCATATTGGCATACTCCACTCTAAAAATGATTTGAATTGAAACTTTTTTTTCATTTAAAACTTAACTTTTTACTTTTAATGTTTTCATTTCAAAGCCATAATCGCTTTCATTATAAACAATAATAACATAATCATTTCCAATTAATTTCTTTTTAAATTCATGATCTGATCGTGTGTTTGGCATCATTGTTGATGCATGAAATAAGACTGAATAGAAAGATTAAAACAAAAATGTTTTCTTTTTTTCTTTTTTTAAATTATTTACCTTGATAAATTGAATTTTGCCAGATATAAGCATATTGACCACAATTATCCGAATTATTAGCATCTAATAATGGGCAATAAAAATTTTCTTGTTGTAAATCTTGTATTGATTTTAATTTAGCTATTGATAACATAAATTGTTTATATCGGTTTGATGTTTGAATATTTGATAAAATATTTATTTCAGTTATTTCCTAGAAAATTTCATATGTTTTTTTTTTTTTATAAATTAAAAAAAATAAATGTTAAATTTTACTTGTCCAGAATTAATATAAACAACACCAATCTTTGCTACACGTACTGGTTCTACATTATCTATTAATTCTATTGATTTACAAACTTCCTAAATTAAATTAGAAATAAACAGATAAAAGCAAAACGAATATTTCCTATTAATCATACTGATGGTACACGAAGAACTTTTTGAGGAAAATAATGTTCATTATGACGATTTAACATACTTTCTTCATCTTTTCGACTAAATAACAATAAAAATTCATTAAGAAAAACAATTTAAAATGAAAAATCTAGATCTTACTCAATATTAGTTATCATTGATTGAAGTTCATCGTTTAATGCAGTTTCATTGATTGAGTAATTACTCTGTTCTTGTTGGCAATAATTAGGAATAGTTTTAATTAATTTTAATTTATCAGCAGCTGTATCATTTAATTTAACCGCTAGAAATGTAGAGAAAAATGCTATTTATTAAATATTTACATATGATTCAATTGAAATATCACCTATTTTTTAAGTAATCGAGAAATGTGTTTTTTAAGATTCCTCTTCAAGGATCAAATCGCTTTTCGACCGAAATAATGTTTATTCGAAAAGTACAAGTGAGCTATAGAGAAGTCTAGTATGATTTAGTTTTTCTTAAGATATCGTCATTTTACTGAATTTTTCAATAAAATGTTGTAATCCTAGTCATGTCATATGAGAGCTTCAACTTGAAATTTTGTACGAACAACGTTTTAAAGATCAGTTTTAGCTTTTCTAGTATTTTCTTTCTGGAAATGTAAATATATATGAGAATAAAATTTGCTTTGAAAGATAAAAGGATATCAAATCTTGAATATCTCAGGATAGGAGATATTAGAACAGTTACAACTGGTCCAAGAAATTAATCTCATGAAGAACTTTATTCATGGAAATTTTGAAGTCGAAATTCTTATGTGAGCTGAGGGAAAGCGTAGTTTTTTGTTCAAAAACTCAGTAAATTTCACTATCTCGAGAACGAAAGGTCAGAGAAATAAACCATTCTGGAATTTTCTATTACTTATTAAATGAACATCGTCTCGGATGACAAACGATTTGACACCTATGAGATTTCTTGTAAGCTTACAATGAAAGGTTGTGTATTATAAGGTTGAGGAGATTGATCGTATTGGACTCAAATGAATGTTGTCTTTGTTTCACTAAATAGCGTGCACGAACCGAGATATTTGAATTTCAAGGTATTCACAATCTATGTCATGTCGAAATTGTAGCAGTATTCATTTTTCTGTTTATGTCATGGTTGAATAGAGCTTGGCAAGTTACATAAGAAAAAAAAAATACCACACATATTCAAAGGTAATTATTGAAAAATATCAAGACACTTGTTTTGCTAAAGATAAGGGTAATAGACACAAAATACTAACTGTTGTAAAATTGCTTTTGAATATGTGTGATGTTGTTTTGTTTTGATTTAACTCGCTGAACTCTATGCAATTATGATGGAAAAACGATGATAAATGCTACTGAAATTTTTGACATGACAGACATGGAAAACATCTTGAGACTCAAATATTTCGATTCGTGCATGCTATGTATAGCTCGTGTTGTAACGTAGTTGGTTTAATAGTGAGAGCATTCATTTGACCAGAATATAATTAATCTCGTTAACATACAGCACATGATATTCAATTTTTAGAATAATAAGATTCAAGTCTTCGAAATAATTGAGACTTGATAGAATAAGATTTATATTTTATTTGTCAAAACTCATCTAGTTTTGTTTTCGAAAAAAAAAAACAATAATAAGTATTTAGCCTAAATTGTAATTCAATTTCGATAGTCCAAATCTAAACTTAATACTAATATTGATGAATTATAACTATGTTACTATTATAAAATAAAATTGAAACAAATGGCCTACTCAAACTTGATTTAAGCTGACTCATCATTATTATCATATTGGTTCTAATACATTTCAAGAATTCGAAGAAAATAATCATATCTTCTTTGAATAAACAAACAGATATAAAATATTTTAGCATTCTAGAATTGAAGATTGTCGTTTTATTCAAAATAAAGACTGAACAGCAACTTCGAATACTTCTATATAATTTAAAAACTATTATGAAGGAAATAATGAAAGTATCATAAATGGGCTCGCCTTGTACTTTTTTTTCAATCGATCCCACCTCTGATGAATATGAATAAGACGAATGAAGTAAATCTCTTCTATTCTATAATAAGCAAAATCTATTACCTTCAAACCAATGAAGTTGTTCATTTTTAATATGAATGATTCCTGGTGATGCTGATAAATTAATAGCTAAAAATGTTTTTGTACTTGTAAATGAACGAACTGTAACAGCAATCCATAAATTTCTTTCATTAAACAATGATCGATTTGTATCTAATTCTATATAATACGAGAAAAAAAAATTAATTTATTTAAATAAAAAGCAAAAAAAAAAAAACTCAAACCTAATGGTCGAATATGAAGATCATCTTGACATGATGTTAAAATTGATAATTTTTTATTTTTTCGAACATTTTGTTTATTTCCATCTGTATAACGTCGATAACGATTTTTCATTGTATCATCATAATCATGTGTTAGATTTGATGAAAAATCTTTTGATTGATTAAATTGATGAAAATCATATGATTTAATTTCATATAAAATTTTTTCATCAGCTAACCAACTATTATTTAAATGATGACGACGTACTTCACGTGGTAATAATATTAGAATTGTATTTGGTATAATAAATTCATATAAATGATCATTTAAATAATTTATTGTTATACGTATTAATTCATCATTTAATTTTTTTAATAGATTATTATTATCATCAAGATTAGTTACTTGTGATGATGGTGTCGTTTCTAATATTGTCATTTTACGTTTCATTAGATCATTATTATGTATATCATCATTTAATGATGATAATGAACCTGAACGTTGTAAACGTGGTGGTCGTTCGAGTAAAAGTGAATCTTGAACACCAGAAAATGATGTTTCTTGTAATGACTGAAAAAGAAAAACAAAAGAAAAAATATTAAATTCTATTTTTTTTGTTGAAAAGAGCAATGTCTAAACTACAAATTTTGTATTACACATTATGTTTTCAGAATAAATTCGAAAAGGAGAAAAAACTGAAAACCAAACACCTACAGAAAAGTTCTTGCCAACTCACTATTGAGCAACATTACATCCATTTTTATTATTGTCTTTTTTTTTTAATACCAGAACAATGTGCGATAAACTCGTTTAATGATAATTTTTGTGGTATAAAAAATGACCTTTTCCAATAGTGTATTTGAAATTAAAGAAGACTGTAAAGGTCTGACGATCGAACGAAGTATAAGTAGGATTGCACAGAAGGACTCCCTCTATCTTATAGTGAATGACTATCAAGTTCTACTGCATATGGTTGGCATATTAATAGATGACGCCATCTATAGAGATGCCGATGGTTTGTAGTAGAACCTGATAATACATGAAATATTAGAGCGAGGAAGCTTTTGCTCTTAGTTTCTATACGAAAACTATTGCTTCTTTTGAAAAATATGTCATAAATTCTTCGTTTATACAATCTGGCCATTTTGCTACAAAAAAAAAAATTGTTGAATTATTATATTTCTGCTAAGTTTCTACAAACTGACATGTTTCGAACAAATAAAGCAAAAAAGGTATTGTGCTTATATATGGTTGCTGAAAATGGTGATTAGAGCATGTCTAGTACGAAATTTTCGAACTCAGAAGCGGCTGGGTCTGACACCAGTCGATTGGGCTCAAATAGTGATGGATGTTCTTGAAAATTCATAGTTATAGCTAAAAATTTTATTTTAGAAAAAATGTATTTTTTCAAATCTTTTTGATTTTAAATAGTCTGGAATGATAAATCTTAAAAAGCCTTGAAAAAAAGCTGAGACGATAGAATTTATTTTTTTATGAGTTACATTTTTGTGTATTTTTTAATAGAATGTGATCTACATAACTTTCAATAATTGAAAAATACCGAATTTCAAAGTTCAGTGAATTTCTTTTTGATATACTTGGCTTTCAACTTTTCCTTCGTTCCGAATTTGTTATACGGAACTATGTCTAGTGTGAAATTTGTAGTTTGAACATTATTCTTTCTATAATGAATTTCATGCACAAATTGCATGATCGATTTGTAAATAGAAAAAATTAAAATATTCTATTTTTTAGTTCTTTTCATCATGGAATAGATATTTTCTTCAATATTCATATCCTATTTTATGTTTTATTTTTCCTAATATCACATATCAAACTGTTTTCTACAAACAGAGACAAAGTCAACGAAAATTAGATAACAAGTCAAAAAAAGCTTCATTCTCTTTCTAATCTACAATCTAAACTATTCTTCATTTTTCTTTCCAATATTTTTTTTTGCAATTTATCATAATCTTACTCGAAGAATAAAATAAGAAAAACATTGACGTTGATTCATTGATAATTGATTAAAATAAAAACATAATATTGTATGAGATAATATAAGATTATGTGCTGTTTGACATTGATATTCTTTTATAATATCAATTAAAATTTGAAATAAATTAGATGTTAATACTGTATCATAATAATTTTCAAATAAAAGATCTTAAAATAAATTTTTAATTTAAGAAAATATTTTAGTTATATTATATTAAAAACTTACGCATTAAAAATTCAAGAATGACTTGGGATATATTAATATTAGAATTAAATTTTTTAGTTAAATATAAAATAATTTTTGGAATATATAATTGAATTTCATCATGAAGATTAGATAAACATATAATAAAAGCTTGAATAGCCGTTATAATAAAAGAAGGTTTCGAAGAATTCATTGCTTTAATAAAACAATCAATAAGATTATTGATTTGCAAGATTTGATTTTTATAACAAGTACAAATAATTAAACAATTCAATGATAATGATGATGTTTTCTTATGTAAATCATCGTGAAACTAAACAAAAAAAATCAATCAAATTTTCTTATAAAATAGATTATCATTTGAAATCAAATATGCCAGAAAAAAAATGCATGAACTTTGAAATATTTATACAGTAAAATATTCCTTAAATGTGTTGATAGAAATGTATCAGCTAAAAAAATTTTTATAATCAAATATAAACTCTTTTGATACATCGAGAACTATGATCGATTCTATCTTCAATTGAATTTGTTGATTTTTATTAATTGATTATTCATAGATATAATTACACTAGACAAATGAAATAATTATTTATATAAAACTAATATTTTATAAATGTTTCTCAATAATGAATGACTCATTTTTAATGAAGTTCTACTTTGTCTTGATTACTTACCATATTGATCAATAATGGTATTAATTGATCAATATTAATATGACTTAGATTAACCATTGATTGTTCTTTAAGAAAATTGCACAAATATTCTAATATTACATTTGCTGCTTCAGGCGATTCCTACAATATAGAAAAAAAACATTTACTAATCAGAATGAATTATACTGAGTAGCCTGCAAATAACCAAACTATAGAATCAATCCAATATTTTCAGGCTGTTTTAGTTGATTAGGCTGATAAATACTGTATACAACTAGCACTATTAGCCTCAATGAATAAATTCGCCAAAAGTATCTCAGCCATTCTTAGGGATGGCCATGTGAAATTTTTAGTCCATATACCACTTTTGAAATGTAGATCAGTGAGGTTAGGCTAACTTTGTTCGCATGAATTGAAGAGAATTTCTGATCTATGGTAATTCTTCTCACTATGATTCTTATTACTCAAGAAAGAAAGAAATTTATACCTTGGTGAATCTGTTCTAATGCAATCTTTCTAATGCGACTATTTCACATCATGATGGATTGATCAGGTCGTAAGTTCTCTTACTTCTTGATTTAGAGAACTCATAATAAGAGAAGCTATCATGCATGCTGACTCTTCTTCGACTGAAGCGATTGAGAGTGGCCGAATCTCTCTCGCCTATATTTCTAAGGTAATGCATATGTTAAATTTTTCACACGCGTACCATTTAGAATCGTTAGTGAATGAATTTTTCGAAGTGTGGTAGGTTACATAATAGTTTCGATTTTGAATTTTTCATGAATAAGGTTCTGAATGAGATTAGTTGATTATTAGCTTTTCTAGTATTCCTTGTTGGACATGTAAATCTATTAAGAAAACTTGGTTTTACACATAACAGAATTCAGAATATTTCATATCTCAAGTTGAGAAATACTAGAAAAGTTACAACTTGCCTTATGAACTGATCTCATTGAGAACTTTATTTATGAAAAGTTTGAAATCAAAACTCTCACTTGATCTGAGAAGGATCACAGCTTTTTGTTGAAAAATTCAGCAAATTTTCGATATTTTAAGAACAAAGATCCAAAAGACCAAATCATTCTAGACTTTTCTATTACTCACTAGCACTCATCAAATAAATATATTCTTGATCAAAAAGTGATTTAACATCTGGAGAGATTCCCTTATGAGATAACAGAGGGATGCTTTTTTTTATCGAGGCCAATAGTGTCAGTTCAAAATGATATTCATTGACGATTTCCTTGTGAACAAGAACTTACTCCTTAATCATCAAGAAGAAAAAAACAATCCGATTGATTAAAGCAAGCTGAAAATATAGTATTCTTTTTTTCTAGTTATTTACGGTCCATCCTGAACAATACAATATCTTACACATTTAAACCAATCGACCATATTTGATAAATAATCATGAAGATCAAGAAAATTTTCATTCTCATTTGTTTTATGATCACCATTAGTTCTTCAAACAAAATAAATAAGTTTTATCGTGAATGTTTTTTTTTTTTTATCTTTACCGATATGTTCCATAGACAATGGTTTCCATTTTAATTAAATACATTCCTATACGTGAATCAGATGAACGTATACGAATATTTAATAATAATTGCCATATAAGAATACGGATTTTTGTTTGTATACAAGATACTATTTTAGAATAATTTGAAAAAAATTGTTTAATAAAAAAATTTAATATCATTGAACAATGATTAAATGATGTTAAACGTGTATATGTTAAATTATTTTCAAAATGTAAATACATTTGTTCAAGAATATATTCAATTAATGGTCGATGAATAGATTCAATTGATGAAATATTTGCCAAATCTTGTTCATAAATCTATATCAGAAAAAAAAAACAGAGGTATTCATTCAAATTTGAAATACATCTTAATTTTAAAATTGTACGAAATAGAATAAACTCATAGAAACGATAAAAACAATTTCATAACGCCAATCGAAAGTACTTTACAATGAATGACTTGCTTTAACAAATTTTCCATTTTTAGATATCTTCTATGTTAATTGAAAATATTTCAAAATGTCTATTATGTTTTTTTTTTGTTAATAAGAAACAGAAAAACAATTTTATTCTTATTTCCACAATCAGAATCACTAAGTTTTAATTAATTACCTCTTTAAGTATTTTATAGCAATGATTAGCGATATTTGAATCAATTGAATGATCCAATAAAAAATATTCAAATATTGATTTAATTGCATTTTGTTTCATAAGTGCATGTTTACTAAGAAATTCATTTTCAGTTATTGAATTTAAATCAATGTAAATTAAATTTTCTAATGTTTCAAGTATTATTTGACCAATAATTGTCACCTAGTTTAAACAAAAAAAAAACAAACAATAAAGGATTTTACACAGAAAATCACAAATATCTCTACTCTACGAGAAGGTATTGAATTTATTTCTTTTTATCAATACTACAGATTTGTTCAACTTTTTTTTTCTAGTAAGAAAATCGTTAATAAACACTGCTCTCATTTGTCGACATTCATTTCAATACGTATCGTGAACTTTGACGGCCTCGAATGGAAAAAAAGAAATGTAGAACAGGTCATGCATATTTTATGATTTTAACATGTGGAAACAAGGAGAAAAGCCTAGATAACCTTCATTCAAAAAGTTATAGTAATGCATAAAAACAAAAGTAGTAGAAAAAGTCAATGAAAAGGCTTAAAATGATGTCCATTTGCATCAATGCACAGTTGTGCAGTCTTTGAAAAGGTGACTATCACAAAATAGAAGAACCATATTCAGTTCAGTATTAGAAAACAGTACAGTTGATGTCAGTATTATAGAAGAGAAACTAACACCCGAATTACAGAACGAAAGAGTCGTTCAAGTATATACGCCAAAAAACAGATACACTCATACAGAAATATGTTTACATGTTATTTTATATCAGTGTATGAAGAGAGGTGTAAGCTGATTAAGTCAGTCACTACCCATAATAACTGCAAAGTTTTCAAGATATATCAACCATCGCCACACAAAAATAGATATTGGGTATTTGAAAACTTCCTTCGGTTGAACTCTACTTTAGAAAATGTTCTTATCTAACCTTTGCTTCAGAGTGAAAGAAAGGGCAGGGGTAAACTCAATAACTCGATAAAGGCAACAGTTCAATCTAAGAAGAACGCCGGACATCTTCTTATCTGATACTATTAAGACAAGATTATTTAAAAATCCATTAAGTTCGCAAAAAATTTAAAAAAAGTGCATGGAAATGTTGTTTCGTTTGGATATAGTTTTGATTTTGATATGTGTTTCAGGTCTAGTGTTGGAGGTACAATTCAAATGATTTATCTTTTCATATCTTAATGTTGGTCATACAAAATGATGTATCGGTTCGATCAAATTAAATAGAATTCTGTTAATTCTTTTAGAGAATTTTATTACTTATTATCAAAATCTCCTTGAAATAGAACATCATTTTCAAGTATTTTTTGGATGTTTTGCAAAGATGATGGATTCTCAAGTAATTTTGTCTTATACAATGTCAAACCAAAAGACGTCTGAAGTTTTCATATTTCGATTATTGAAAACCGTAGATTGTTAGCTGTAGCCATTGTCGAGTTATTAAGATTATACTCATTCTTCTTTAATTCTACCAGAAAAATTTTAAAATTTATCAGAAATTTCAGCCGTAGCTACTGATTAATGTATCAGCTTTAGGTCAAGGTCTGTTTCACAAAAATCTGGACCTACAACTTCTCAATTGGCTTACATCTCTACGTATAAAAATGCTAGAATATTGTATCGAAATGAATTTCGAAAATTGAAAACAATATTCATTAAATATTTTCTCATGTGAAAAACAAACTTTGTACACTCGTCTATGATTATTTTAAAAAAATCTGCTCAATACTTTCGAACATAGTGAAAATATTCATGCTTTATGTTGTATTATCATATGAAAAAATGTATTTACCTGATCAGTCATTTTAAACCATAAATATTTATCAAATACCGTTGTTAAGACATCAATGCGTGTTGTAACTGCTTCTTTAGAATTCCTATATTGAAGTAAAATATTGACGTAATATTTTTCTATTAAACTTAGCTGTTTTTATACTTACAAAATAATATGTTCAGTAAGTTCTTTTAATGCAACTGACCATTCTGGATTGTTTGGTCGAATTAGATGTAAGAGTTTCGTACATGATTGTTTAATCAGTTGTTCACGAAGTGGTGTTCTCTAGATAAACGAATGAAAAAAAAGCAAACAATTCTTTTTTTGTTTTTACTCCAAAAAACTCTCACCGATATGGATGTTAAACGTTTAATATCAAATAAATGTGTTATCATTGTATGTGGTAAACAACATAGTTTATTTGCAAAATCTTCAAACATATTTAAACAATCGTCATAGAGTGCTCGTGTTGTTGTTGTACTCTTTTGATCAACCTTAAAGAAAAACAAAAAAGACATTTAAGATTAATAAAACTAAATAAAATTTTTTTTAATCTTTTACAATTAAATATCGATAACATATTTTCATAATTTCATCCATCATTTTCCATACAGTCATACTGAATAAGTTTAATGCACATGAATAATTTTTATCATTTAAAGATTTTAAAAATTGTTGAAAATTGATTAATATAATATTAACATTTTGACGTTTCATTAATACTTGATGAAGAATTGTTAACCAACATAATGGTAATTGTTGAATACGATTTAAAAAACATTTTCGATGTATTATATCATCATTTGATAATTGTACATGATGTTGAGTTTTTGAACGATATTGATGAACATCAATTAATGTTTGAGTTAAAACAAATAATAATGTTGATAATGGATCAATATCATTATTTATTGGAGTTTCTAATCTAAATAAATCAAAAAATTTTATTTTTAGAAATAAGAAAAAGAAATATGTTTTGTACCTTTCAACAATTATTCCACATAGAACAGATATAACTGATATACTATGCCACTGAGCTTTGGCTAAATGATTTCTAATTAACTAAATACAAAACAAAAAAAGCCAATATAATCATCTCATCCGAAATATATATTAAAAATTCAAAAACAAAAGGATACAAGGAGAGATATGTTGAAATTTTTTCTTTGGTCTGTTCTGAAGTTATACAGATAAATATGCATTTATTATAAGTTCTAAACACGTATTTTGTACAAAGATAAAAGATCAAAAATTTGATTATCACTTGGGAGTTGTTCAGTGTTACAGCTTTTTTTGTTCACATTTTAGTCAGTATACTGATAAGAGGACAACTATCGGTATACCGACGGTTTTCGTCTGATTTGAATCATATGAGATTTGAAATTCGATGCTCTACAAATCATTTGCTTAAGCGTTTCTTGTAAAAATAAAATGAACCAATGTAGAAAATCATTTATTGTGTTAGATTAAACAACTGTTAATTGGTTAATTATCGACGCTGGTTGAAATCAAGATCTTAACACTACTGAATATTCTACGTATTTTCATCTAATTGAACAGACGGTCGATGGGTTCGCTGATGAAAAGACTTTTGTTGACTATTCTATGTAAAGAAATAATTTTCTTTCAAGTGGATTATAAACCCTTTTGTATCAATTTGAATCTAATAAAACTTGATTGATTATTCAAAAAACGAAATTCGGTTACTTATAGAACTATTTTGTAGAACTCATGTATATAGGAAGTGTAAGTTTTAAGTTCAAGTTGTTCGGCTTCCTACCCGCTTGGCTTTATAAATCTTAGAAATCAAAATTAATGGCACGGAACAATATTAATAACAAGGCTTAGAAGATTCTAGAACCTTTCTTAAAGCCTAAATGACTCATAAATGTTTTTCAATATTGTAGATAACAGGTTTTTCGTATTTCACAACTGACACATGACCAACATCAAAATCATAAAGCGATTAAATTATAACTTTCGTGAATAATCAATATCAGTATTGCTGAGTTCATCGAGATACGTAATAAATCTAAAAGATCTACTGTAGATATAACGAATGTGTACAACAGTTTTATATATTTACTATATCAATACTAAGACTACTACTAGTAATAATAAATTATGAAAATGAATTGCAAAATAGGCATAACATTTGTTGATAATTGATTATCGTTTAAAAAGAATTATTATCATTCAAAGATTTTACATTTTGTGTATTTTATATTCGTAAAATAAAGCTAACGAGAATATTTGCCTTCCACATTTCAGCCTCAAAGAAACTGTACTCACAAGTTTTACTATTCATATTAATCAATGTTAAAGAGAACAATTGACAAGAACAAAAGATCTTCCGAATCTATGACTTTTTTTTTCTAATTTAAATGAAATAAGTCATATACAAAATACTTGGAATATTGGTATAAATCTCTAGTAAACAAAATCCACTAGTTGATTTCTATCCCTATTTATCTCACATTAACTTATAGTAAATAACATACTTGCAATAATTCCGTATTAATTCCAGTTGAAAACGTATATTTATCATGTAAATCAACAATATTTTGAATAAAATAATGTATTAATGTTGTATTTAATACATGGTTATTAATAATCCATGATAAAAATTCAATTGATCTCTATAAAAATAGTCTCATCTTTTTAAAAAACTTTAAGCATTTTCTATTTTACTTTAATTGCTGTTTGATTTAAGCCGCGATTGAGACTAGTAGGATCATCATCATCACGATTTAAATGACGAAATATACATTCTAAAATGCATGCTAATTCATCATTCCGTAAATGACAATTATTTGTGATTGATTCTTTCAATGTTTGATAAGCTTGTGTATTTCGACTCATTGGACCTATTAAAATTCCATTTATAAATTGAATAAGAAGACGAGCTAAATTAAAAGAAAACAAAAAATTTCTTCTTTAGTATAAAAATATTAATCATCAATACTTCGTAGACGTTCATCTACAATGTCCATTCGTTTACCGCCATCAGTTAATAAATAAAAACACTCAAGCCTAAAAAAAAACAAAACAAAAATATAATCACAAATAAAAATTTCTTTTGTTTACCATAATCCTGAATCATTTTCATTGTCGATTTTATATCGAGCAAGAAAATCAAATGAAAGCCATAAATTAAAAAATCGTCGTTGTAATTGCTTAAATAAATAAATAAAAGTAGAAGTTAAAAGCGCTTATTTCTATTTGTATATTAATTCTGGCTAATATTTCTTTCCATTCATCATTAGTTTTTATTCTGTTTATACTTCATAAAATTTCTGCTCTAACAACATTTGCATCTGCTCATCAATTGTTTCAATGTAAAGATGAACGAAAATTTTTCTTTAATTCATTATCATATATACCATATGAATGTTTTCCTGATCAAACCACCATTAATATTGTAAATATCAAACATGTTATGTATAAATGTTCAAGTAGAAATTTAAATCAAGTTATAGGATTGATGAATATATTTCCAATTGAAATCGATTTCGATCGATATGAAATAGACAATTCATCATTATTTATTGATATAAAATTATCGAAAAATTTTATTCAATGGAAACATTCAAGAAAAAAATATATTAATCTAAGTATGAAAAGTAAAACAAAATTGAATCAATGTCAATTCCAGTTACGCATGAATAACTGTTCTCTATCGAAATTTCAAAATTATACAATAATTAATCAATATTGTGAAATATATTATAAATCATTGACGCGTATTCATCCAATGATTGATATCAGTTATGACATAAATCACGAGATTTTCTCATTAACATTAAATTCAACAATACAAGTTTCTAATTCAACTGAAAAATATGTAAATTATGCAATCATTCTTCTTATTAGTTTGATTGTTTTAAGTCTAATAGTTTCGATAATTCTTAATTGTATTCAACAATGTCGAAAACGAAAATTTGATGTGATTAAATCACCATCGGCAACAGATGTCACAAGCGAAAATAGTACATCATATACCAATACAACGTGACTTAATATAGTACCAAAATAATGCACAATCTTGCGGGCATGTTTTACACTCTATGCTACTGTTGTGTTTAATCATAAATCAAACATGATAGAACAACTACTCAAGAGAGAGAGAGAGATTTGTGACAACACATAAAAATCAATATCATGCTTCATTATATACCCTGTTACCTCGTCATAAAATAAATTGCTTTCATTTGATAAATGCGCATAAAAGTTTGATTGAAAAAAATAATTTTCTATTTTAATTTTGTTTGCATGAATTTCTCATTGATTTCTCTCCTATTCTATATGTCTTATGACGTTCTTATTTTTATTTTTTCTACGTTATTTGACGCATTCAGGTGATTAATAACGATACTATTATATCTGATGCTTGGTACCTTTTTCGCACATTTGTCATTATGCTCTAAAAACAAGTTACAGGTAGCACAGGTAAATGATTGTTAAAATTATGGTAATTGACACAGCAAACGATATTGAAGCGTTCATGTCTTTTTTCTAGAAAGCTCATACCCTCCAGTAAAGTTACCTTTTAATTATGAATATATAATCAGTGAAAAAATGAAGCATATCAACATACCATATTTAAAAAAATAAAAATCTATATTTTCTTTTTTCGTGTGCCTATCAACTATTATAGATCCAAGTAAGCAGTAAAATACATTTAAGAAATAGATATTTAAATACAAAAACAAAAACAAAATAAAACATTATAAGTATAAATTCTTGCTTTTCTTCTAGTTTAATATTTGAACAAGTCTAAGACAAATGACATTGAAAGATTTTAATTCAAAAGAAATTGAATTCAATCGATCAAAATCTGCTCACCAATTAACAACAAGTGAAACGAATAAACGAGATCATCGTTTAAGTGATTCACATACAAATCCAAAATTCCAACGAATACGAACGTCTTTTTTCAATTTACTACATGCACATCGAGCAACACATCATACTGAAAATAAAAATATATATCAACAACAAGAATCCTTAGCACGTCGTCTATCAATTATTAAATCATCTGACATAGCACAAAATCTAGAAAAGAAAACCGTTGCATTCGCAACTACTTTTGATGAACTAGACAATCAGTACGATGAAGATCATTTAGTAAGAACATCAAAATTATAATTATATTTCAAATAGTTAAAAAGAATCTTTCTTTTTGTCATTAGCATAGCAATCCAGAAAGTCAAGCTATCGACGATATAACATCAGAAACGGATATTGTTACTGTTATTTCAAAGAAAGAAATGAATGACGAAATACCGGTAAAAAAAAATTTATTAATAAAATCTAAAAAAACTTGTTTGTGGTTTTCATTCTACTTCAGACAGATTCAAACAAAAATATCGAACCCTACCCATTTCGTTCTGAAGCGCAAATATCTGCATCTTCTCAATCAAATTCAAAAATTGGCATTACTAATGCACATCATCATCATTCACGAAAGAACATCATCGATCGTTTCACTCATCATCATCATACAAAAAAACTTCATCCTCTGCCAACTGTTAAATATAGCAGTCCAAACAACTTATCAAAGTCATCACCTAACATAGTGCTTGCATCTTCAACACCTACAACCTCCACAAAAGTTATAACAAATGATCGAACAGGACCATTAAAAACTGTTCGTACATGGCTTAAATCATTACCATTAAGTCCGTTTGCTCAATCAACTCATAAACATTCACATACAAATAAGTCATCAAAACCTCAAAAACCACAAATTGCACGTCGATCAATTGGATTACGAAGATTTTCTGAACTTCAATATTAATACTAGTAAACTTACTTCTATTTTCATTAATTCTAATATACATTTAAATGCGCATAAACGAATTTCACTATTCATTGAACCTTGTTGTTCTTCATTTGTCAATAGGCCTGTTATGCATAACCAAATACTGCCTAAAGTTATCTATAATAAATAAATAAAATTTATTTTATCGAAACTATATATATATATAGTCATTGTTACATACAAGATCAATATCTGAATGTGTTATACATTCAAACATATGTTTAAGTGCTTCAATTCGTTCAGCAACTTGTCCATTTGTAATACTCTGAATGTACTGAAAAATAAAAATAACAATAAGAACTAAGATTCAAAATAATCTTTAATTCATATTTACTTGTGATGGATTATAAACAACAACAAATGCTGTTGTCGAAACCGGAGGTCCAAGAGCCATTTTCATGTGCAAAAGATGAATATACTCTCTTAATACACTCACACGCTCGATATACGAAGTTTTTTTTTTAATAATAGAATGTTAATCTCATCTATTCGAAAAAGAAAACAATGTATATATATATATGTAACGTTTAAGTCTTCTTAGCCATAAATATCGAACGCCATAATAACTAACAAGAGGGCAAATGGGTAAAGAAAAAGAATGCGACAATCAGTCGTCCTTTCTCTAGCACAAAAAGAGAGAGAGAAGAGCTAATCAGCTGCTGTCTGTCAAATGAATCCAATAAATACCGAGAAAGAATAAATAAAATACATATAGAGGTCAGCAAAGATATATTTCAATTTTCATTGGATATATGAATATACATTTCAATTTATATGAAATAAGAAAAACTGCAAAAAAAAAAAAGATAAAGTTATCATAGATTCATTCCATTCAATTTGCTTTTTTCTGATTATTTCAAATTAAATATAAATGGCTGAAATCGTTCAAAATCCAAATCTTGGCACTCGTCGTAAATTAGAATTACTTTTACAAGAAATGGATACAATATGTCGTGAAATAATTTCACAATTGTATAATTCATCATCATTATCATCATCATCAACAACAACAACAGCAAATAACAATAATAGTAGTAATCTTGATACACAAACATTAGTTGATATGTTTATTGAACGACAAAATTATTTAACAGAACAAATACGTATTGTACGTGAACAACAAGAACTAGAACGACAATTACAAATGAAACGTGATGAAATTCTTAAATGCGATCGTGCATTACGTTGCTTACAAACATATTTATTACAAGCTGTACAAGTACTTTCATCAGCTGTTTATCAAGCACGTGAAAAATTATCAAATATACGTCGTGCTAAAACATTTCCATCGGAAACCATTATTCGTTATGCACATCAATTAGCATCATGTTATTCAACAATAGCACCAGATAATTGGCAACAAGGAGATATTCGTCGACCATATCCAACAAATATTGCTATGAATCGTGGTCTTCTTGGTCGTATAAGTGAACAAACATTACAACAGCAACAGCAACAACAACAACAACAGCAACAATTAAATATACAAAATTCAACAATAAATACAACAACAGTTGTTAATTCATCTGTACAACAAAATACATCTTCATCATATACAGCTGTAACAACAGCTGTACGACCACCAAAACATGATACAACATCATTTGCATTAGATATATTTGCAACATTAAATGACGAAACAAATACAACAAATGCTTCATCAAGTGATACAGATTCTGATGATGATTTATTATAATGATTTATTATTATACTCTATATATATTGTAGAATATTTATCTTGATATAGATCTTGTTACTCTTGTATTAATTCTAAAAGAATTCATTGTTTACATTGAGATGTGTATATGTTGATTAAATTATTTTTGATAGTTTTGTTTTGTTCATTGTATTTCTTGCAACACCTTGAAAGTTACTTATTGTTCTATTGTTGAAAAGTGCATCTATTATTAAATAACGATACAATTTTTCATTCGTTTATCTTGCAACTTATGAGAGAAATCTTCCCACTGATATATCGCTATTGAGTAGTGACTATGTTTATTGCGTAGATCCAAATGAACTATGAATATCCTGTAAAGTATTTAGGCTTTCAGTTGGTTTCTGCCAAGATACTATACTTTTATGATAGTAATTAAAAAGAATTTCGTGGCTGTTCTCGAGAAAATCTAGGTTATAAATTTCGATTTGAAACTTTGTATTTAGACAGATCTTGACGAGAAGAGTATTTTGTGAAAGTTTCTAATCTTTTGGTTTGCTTTTATATTGAAATAAAAATTTCGAATCTGCCAGTGTATAACACTTTGAAAAAGAAAGTACAGATTAATAGAACCGCACTTCTTTCATTATCATTATATAATTCCTTTTTATTCATCAACTTTTTTTTTGACTATATGAACGAAATAAAGCGTTAGATGAAGGTTAATCGTTGCACGTTTTAAACGTAACCGTAGAATAGTAAATACTTCGCCCGAAGGTTCATTCAGTTGACATATACATAAAGGGTTTACGAACACAGAAAGCAGTACAATAGTATATGAATTTGCAACGGGTCACAAACCTCTGCCAAGGCTCATGAAGAGAAAGGACTTATATTATGATTATAAACGGCTAGGAAAGCTTTGTTATTCTACACTTTTTTTTACTATGATGAGAGGTGTACAACCTTGCTTGATCATAGTTGTATCTTAGGATAGGAACGAAGAGAATATCTGAAACTTTTGCAAAAAACCTATTCTCATTAAAGCCCGTCTCTGTGCAAAGTTTTCTGTTGAAATTAACAAATCAATTTTTCTTGTACTACGACATTCAAATTAGAAAATACTAGAAGAGTGTAGTATCTTGACATCAATATGTTAGGAATCTAAAATTGTTTTCAGAGTATTCATAGCTCATTTCAGTCTATGTACTACTCATAACCTTGACTTGAAAGCGATTACTCAGTTGGTAGACTTCCCATGTTAATGAAAAATTCAAAAAATCAGTCAAACAAGAATTTTTGTTTCGAACAGAATTGGAAAAATTTTCTCGGTAATTGTTATCGACTTGAATACAGGAACTGTTAATGGTTTAAGCATTAAATTTTTATCCAAACTTCATTGATGTATATAATTTTGGTCTGATTTATGTGAAATCTTGCAGGCAAATGTTTGCTGTAAAACATGAGAACAGCCTTCAATAAAATAATTAATGCTTGCTTCAAGCATATAAGAATAACAAAGGTTTGAAGGTTTGCAAAAAAAAACGAAAAAAACTAGACAAAACCATCAAAAATGATATAATTGATTTGTATAAATACAAATCTGTAGATCGAAGTTTCTTAGGAACCAAACTGTTGTGTCAAATTTCTCCTAGATGAAACAATTTGTTTCTAGTGACATTAATAGAAAAATAATTTTTTTTCAATATTGATAAATATTTTAGATCGAATTAAATGAAAATTCTATCTTAACTTATTCACAAGATTTTAAATCGAACTTTGAAGTATCAATAGAACATCGGAATAGTAATGGTAAAGTTTGAAAGAATGTTTTGTTCAATTTTTAATCGATTATAATTATTGTCTTTAACACAGATATTTTGAAAGATGTCCAAAATTAAACAAGCCATTTCTTTTACAATCATAAGATATGTTTAGTATGGAAGACAGAAACGTTTTTTACTCACAGTACTTGATTTGAATGAAATAAAAACGATTTTATCTTCCTAAATCCACATATGGAGACTGTAAAGGAAAAAACAACACAAAAGAACTACGTAGATCATATAGTTAGTTGAAATAGAACGATTATGTACAATTTCATGGATTCGTGAACTTCATCTACATATCCAACGAATAAAGAAAAGAAAGAGAGAAAAAAAAAGAAATGACGCAATATGAACACTAGTGTACTGCATTTAAATATACAAGTATAGAGGCACACACCTCGACACATGTAATTATGTAAGTATTTTTCATTCGTAGCTGGATGAAAAGATTGCTTTTCATTAGTATCTATGAATAGGCATCCAACCAGATAAAATATCCAAGATATTCATTTGTCAATAATAAGAAGTATGACGCATCCAGGTCAAAAAAATATGGTTGTAAACGTTAGTTTTCAATTTTTTTTTCTCCGTTTAGTAGGCGCAGTATTACGATGGTATTTCACTTTATTACAAATGGTCGTGTATTCGATTTTCAGACCGTTATCAATTGTGTATTATGGTGCGATAAAATGCAGTCGCAATAGGGCGCCTACCAAACGTATATTTATAGCTATTTACGACCACGAACTGTATAAAACAACTATATACAGTATCATTTTTTTTGATGATTTCGACGACTGCAATCATTGTTCTGGATAGTCATCATGCAAAATTTGGTGGATTTTAATAAATTCACATTTATTTTATGTATGAGAATTCATCGGATTTTTGCAAAATGCATCTCACCATAGAAGTCGTAAGTCAAAATATCAGCAGTGTAGTTTTGATATGAAGAAAGAGTAGATTGTAGCAATAATTTGTGATGTGATTAATAGAAGCAGCATAATAAATCGCAAACATTCGTTTAGCTTTAATTGTGCGATTACAAATAGATCTTTATCTTATTAAAAAGAAAGAGCTCGAACGATTTTAGAATTATGCTTGAATTACTGTGGTTCGGTTTATTGTAATCGATATAAAATAAACAAACAATAGATGTTTAATTTGAAGTAATTGTTACATATTCTCATTGATATTCATTCAAGATGTGATAGAAGTTATTACGAAATAAACTTTTTTTTTCTCTATTAACAATCAGCTTTTTTTTTGAAGATATTTTTATAAAGATAAGATTAAACAAGCTATCAAAATATTTTTAAATGCAATGTCATAGAGAAAAATCTTATTTCATACTTTTGAGGTAAATATACGAACGAAAATGATAGGAAGAAAAAAAAAGCAATTTTTTAAAACACGTATATAAACATGTAAATTGTCGCAGCTGTATTTATTCTAGGGTTGCTATGAAATACCTAGCACATGATACGATCATTATTCATCGATATGTGCACATGATGTTATGTACTTTAGACGATCTTTTTCTTCGTTATTGTGTCTTCATTATTGCACTGCATTCTTTCGTTCTTTCTTTCCAACAATATAAAAAAAACGACGGTTTGTAAAAAGAAATTCTATTAAAATATTCTATCTCGCTTTGTAAATAATACGACAAATAAACGCTTGCGGGTACATCGACAGATCAACGACACCACGGTGTCACCATTCTTTCATGTACCTTATTAATTAGTGTTTAGGGTGTCGTTGATCTAGAGAAGAAGCCATTCAAGTGTATGATAATGATGTATTTCTTAATGAAGTCTTGTTTTTTTTCTTTTTTTAATTTTAGATTATTTGTAGCACAGCAATGATAACCCATAACGATAAAACATTATCATTTGAATCACAAGTTATTCTAAGTGATAAACATCCTATGCCACAATTAGGTAAAATATTATACAAAGATTTTTAATATAAATTTTAGTTTCTTTTTTTCTCATTTTTGAGGTCTTGGTACATGGCGAAGTGAACCTAAACAAGTACACAATATTGTTAAAGAAGCTGTTTTAAATTGTGGTTATCGTTTAATTGATGCTGCATGGATTTATGAAAATGAAGATGAAGTCGGAAATGGTTTACATGAAGCAATTGAACAAAGTCAAGGGAAAATTAAACGTGAAGATTTATTTATAACAACTAAATTATGGAATCAAGTAAAGAAAAATGTTTTATTTTCTAATGAATTAATTTATTTTTTCTTTTTTTATAATTATTTATTTTAGCATCATGCACCAGAAGACGTTGAGTGGGCATTACGCGATAGTTTAAAAAAACTTCGTTTAGATTATGTTGATCTTTATCTTATTCATTGGCCAGTTGCATTTAAAAATATGTCTGAAAATGTTTGGTCACAAAGTGAAGATGAAAAAACACGTTATTTTAATGAAAATGTAACACTTGTTGATACATGGAAAGCTATGGAAAAATTAGTTGATTTAAAATTAACACGTTCAATAGGTGTATCAAATTTTACTGAATCAGAAATTGATGAAATACTTAAAATAGCTCGTATAAAACCAGTTGTTAATCAAATTGAACTTCATCCATATTTTAATCAACATAATATGCGTGAATATGGTGCTAAACATAATATTCATATTATGAGCTATTCTCCATTATCAAATTTACAACAAGGAAAGGAACATAATGAAAATGCATCAGCATTATATAATCCTGTTATTCTAGATATAGCAAAATCAAAACATAAAACAGCAGCACAAATTATTATTCGATGGCATCTTCAAAATGGTCTTGTTGTTATACCAAAAACTGTAACACCGGAAAGATTAATTGAAAATTTTGAAGTATTCGATTTTGCATTATCGGATAATGAAATGCGTCAAATTGATCGATTGGGTGAAACACATCGTCAACGTTTTGTCAATCCACCATTTCGTCCATCTAATAAGCCAATATTTGATGATTGAATATGCTATTCCACATGATTTTTAAGTTGAAATGTGAACATCAATTGATTCTCTAGTTAGAATTTATCTTATTGAATTGATTAAAAAATAATAAAATTATCTTAATAAATATTAAAATAAATATATAAAGATAGTCAAAAAATATCACAAATAATGAGTTGTGCGGAATGAATGACTTAGTTTTGCATTTCATTTCTTTTATCATTTAACTCGTTTCATTACAAGAAACATAATATACTATTAGATGCAGTGTGAAAAGCTCTACAATCTATAAGTACATAATTGAAATAAGCTTTACTATATAGATTGTAGAGCTTTTCATGCTGCACCTGATGATATATTTTGTTTTCTTTGTAATAAAACGAATTGATTGATGAAAAACTGAAATACTAACTCCGACCATTCATTATGCCCCACACCTTAGCATATCATTAAAGGTTGCAAGATGCGCCAAGTCTCGGCTTAAACTATTATTCATCCATAAAATGATTGTGACGAATTAAGCAATACACATAAATTTGAAATGAGTTACACTTGTTCATCAGGTTTATTAACATTGTCTTTTAATTCAAAAAACGTAAAAAAAATTATGCCATATGGAAATTTCTATTTCATCTCATTTACCAAACAATTTGCAACTTGCGATATTGCTGTACTCAATACCCTAATTATAATATTCTTTTAAATAATAATTCATAAATATAATTCAAAAAAGTTGCATAATTCATCACATTACGGTGATGATTATATTTTGCTAAATTTACTTATAAGGAGATATTATGAAATCATATGCAACTAAAACGAAAAGATTTTCAAGTTTAGATAAAATAAATAAAAATAATAAAATGAAGAAAACAATTCTTTTGTTCATATAAAAAATAAATATTTCCAAAAAAGTCATAATACAAACTGAATAAAATATATTCAAATCGATAAAATATTTTTGAAATAAATGTGTTCGAAAAATGATATGTACGAAATATATAATATTCGTTTATAGATTGTCATGAAAATATGACAAACATATTATCATCATATTGATTAGAATAAATAACAAAAGATGATAGAACTTAATATCATTCACTTTAACGTTTGTCAGTGTTTTAATTAAGTTTTCAATCTATTTGAATAAGTTCTTACATGAGACGACCATTAGATCTCACGGAATGTATTGGTTTTTCTTTTCATACTGATTATTAATAATTTTAGCGTTTCATCGAACATCGTATATTTCATACGAAAAAAAAATATCTGAGTTATTTAATATTTTTTATATCTATCTTTTTCATCTAAGCTATTCTTGGTAAGTACTCTGCTGCTTGATTGGCGTATTTTAGTTTTTTTTTTTTTTTGTAAATAATGATGATAGTTTCAAAGTCATTTTTGATGTTTATTGATTATTATGTTGTAGGTTGATAACTGTCAATCACTTCTATAAAGTAGAATCAGCTTATTATTATTGACAGCTGATATATTTATATATAGTTACTCATGTGTCTCTTTTCACAGCTGTTTTTCATCAGAAGAACGAGAAAAATGAAAGAGTGTGTTACACATGAGTAATATATTGATGAATAAGAGAATTTTGTAATAGAAAGAAGAAAATATTTTGTGGTGAGAACTATATTATATAGCCAAATAACCATTATTCGATTACTCTCTATTATGAGTATTTGTTTTGGTTGACTGAATATAATATAGATCTTATCTGAGAATGTTCTAGAACTAAAACTTGAACTAAACAAACAATTGTTCTACAGAAATTCAAAAGAAATAAACATATTTATAACTAATTGAAGTATTATTGATAGTGCTAAATAATATAAATGATAAGACTAGACATAGTTAATTAAATAAAGTGTTGACATTACGAAAAATTCCAAATAATACAGATTGAAAATTTATTTGTTTTAATATATAAATAAGAGATGCGAAATGTAATAAGCAGAATACTATAAAAACATATTATCACCGATTGCAAATAATTTTTGACATAAAAAAAAAAAAGGCAAGTTAACAGAAATAAAGCGAGTATGCAAAAATAAATATTCTGTAATATAACTTAAAGCACTATGAATTTACTGTCGTCATACGTTGGCGACATATAGGACAAATACGTGTTATTCGCAACCAATTGGCAACACATTCAGAATGAAATAAATGTCCACATTCAAGCTTTTTTAATAGTTCACTGGTTTCAAAATTAGTTCGACATATCGCACTAAAAAAAAACAAAGAAATACAATACAATAAAATAAAATGTTAATAAAAATCTTTCAGAATAATGTTTATAAAATCAATAGTGTTATGCAAATTTGTTTAGTAAACATTTTGAATAGTATCCTGCAATCGGATTCTATTATTTCAAACAGCTAATTTATATAAAAATATGAGACTGAAAAGCTAACCAATTTATTGTACTTGTTGAAAATAGATTACAGTTTGTTTTACTAAAAGAATTCGTTCTTTTTTCATGGAAATTTATCTACAGATGATGGTAAATGATTGAATACATGAAAAGGAAAGTGAATTATTGAAAAGATAAATATGTATTATTGTGATGGAAAAGTATTCATGTATACATTCACAATTATGATTATTGATAACAACACGACATTCCATTTCAGTGTCATCAATTACAAGTAAAAGTATACTTAGTGAAAATGATCGAATTTTAGAAGTAGAAAAACATCTTGTGATTTACTTTTTCCTAGAACTTGACATGATGTCTTCTATTTATTGTCGCTATTTATGAAAGAAACTAAATAGTATCGTTTTTCATATAAAATAAAACTTTGAAAACCATACTGTAACTATGAAAGTATTTGTCGAATATCAATTATCTTTAATTCCGAAAAGTCGTACCCATGCGAGATACTAATTGTTAAAGTTTTTCGAAAGAAAATGATGATTACAAAATTTTTCCTCAGTAAATTGTCAAGATGAAAAAAAAAATATCAAAAACTTGATTATATTTACCAGTCAGTTTGATTAAATTGATCAGGTTCTTGTCCAAATGCAACTACAGGTACAGCATCAATATTTTCCTGTGTTGCTGGTGGATTTGGATTAATTGTCATTGGTGCAGCTGTTCTCCATCCCTTAAGAAAAAGAAAACACCACAAAATAGAAATATTATCATCAAAAAATCTTTTTTTCTATGTTTAATTACTTGAAGTAATTCAAGAATAGGTACAGTTATTGATGCTGGTAAACAATAACTTAAAATAATACCAAAAAATACTCCTAAACAACAAAGTATCATAATTAATGGTATAACTATTAATGGTGATAATATTCTTATCCATTCCCATATTAATAATATACGATATAAATTTGGTGCATATAGTCGACATGATTGACCTGAACGTGGTTGAAATAAAAATAAACCACCGACAGAAAAATAATAAATAACAATTATTGTACCAAAATAATTTAATATATATTGTAATGCATAATAATATATATAAAGTTGTCTTTGACGATTTAAACGAAAGCAAACTTGACTTATAATTAAATTTATAATATGTATTATTGTTGTACAACTAAATAATATTAATCCAACAAATGCATATGATTTTAATGGTGCACCTAAATATAAATCTTCTGTACTATTATATATACATGTTGAATATTGAACATCTTCCATTGCATTTGCTACTGTACCCATATATGTACAATTAATAATTAAAACAAATAGAAGAATAAAACATTCAACAATTAATGAACGTCGTACAGGTAATTCGGGTTTTGTTGGTGGTATAAGTAAAAGGAACCATGTACTTAAACAAACAATACCAAGACAAAAACGCATTAATTCACATTCATTTGAATCTGATAATGTTGATGAAAATGAATAAGCTGTGCCAAAACATATTGGAATAATTTTAAAAAACATAAAAACTCCACGTAAGATTGATGCACGACGTAATCGTTCTAATTTTTGTTCTTCAGTTAATTCTGAATTACATAATGAAACATTACGTAATAAAAAAAATATAATTATTATTAAATCAATAATATAAAATATTACTAAACATATTGATGTTATAGCTAAACGATTTGATACATTGCATTTATGTTTGCTTGATATTAAACCGATTAATAAAAGTGCTATATCAATGACACGATATACTAAATGAAGTAAACTACCAGAAAATATACGATCAAGACCATAGAATCTATGTATCCATGTTGTTTCATTTGTTGATGTTTGATTAGTTGATGATCGATTCACTGGATTTTCTACATCTCCAACTGAATTATTATGATAAGTTGTTGATATATGGGAGATTATACGATTAATACCACCACTTGATCCAACACTATCAATAGGTGATGTTGACATTTTAGATGAAGAGTTTTAAATAGAAGAAACTAAAATAATAATTTACAAAAAAGTGCGAAAAAAGAACTTAATATAAATTAATGATAAACGATATACTTTTTCACACATCATATAAAATGAATCACTATTTACAATTCATCATGTTACATAATTTAAGTGAGCAAATTGATATAAATGTGTCATAAGGATTTGTTATCAAGTGTCCTAATTTTACTGACTAAATGAGTTTATATAGTCATAAAAATTGGTTTAGAAGTTAACTATACTGTTTTATAATTTTAAAAAAAATTCTTGTTCCATTTATTTTTTGTTTTAACTCTTTTGTTAATAAAAAAATTCAGAATGTCCCTTTTAAAAAAAATATTTATAGGGAAAAATTGAAACAGTCAGCTTGTTTTTCCTTTTTGATTATGAGTAATAAATCACTTAATTCTGCATAAATAAAGAAAGAAAGAAAGAATATAATATACGTATCCAATCGATGTCAATATGTTAAAAAAAAACTAATAAATGTACTTTTATAAAATATCATCAAAAAACTACTTAAAGTTTGAATTTCATGCATTAATTACAACGAAGGAAATGTCATTTTCATCCTTCCTATCAAATCATACAACTGAATTGAACTTCAAGTTATGACAATTTTGAAGAAGACTTTCATAGGCTTGTCGTTATCACCAATCATTTCACAAAAACGAGAGGTCATGACAATCAATATTTTAGTTGGAAAAATGTTACATCGTTATACGGCTCATTAAAACTCCAGTGTAACTGTTGAATTTTTTACTTAATGAAGAAAAATGAAAAACTTGAAACAATGAAAACAAAAACAGTTCGAAATGAACGTTAGTACTTTGGTAGTTTAGCTCGTATGCTTACTGTTTGTTGTATATATTGACTCGATATACTTAAAGTTCAATTACAAATTCAACAAAAAAGCTGAATTTGATCTTGTTCGTAAATAAAATCTATGTAAATAGATACAAAAAACAAAATATGAGAATACTTATTGATTTCTTTTTTAAATAGTAAAAGTTTCTCTTGTTGTTGTTTTTACTGTCGTTGAAGTCTTTATTGTTTAGGCTTTTTTCTTATCTTTTCACTCAAAATTTTGATGATAAATGTACTTTTTAACTAAGATCTTAAACTAACAAAAGAAAAACGAAGAAATTACAAACATACCTATTGATGGTATTGTATAAGTCGAGAAGAAAGCTCAACTAAATTGTTTAATACTAATATCAGAAATAAAAGCAAAAAAAAACCTTATGCATATTTTCATTTTAATGCATCAATGACTTTTATTCGAGAAACTCTTATTATATAGGAAAAATAGCTTTCTATAAACAAGTTAAACAAATATTACTAACTAGCAGCTATTTTGAAGATAATGTGATTGCTCATCTTAGTTCAATTTTTTGTTGTTGATAATACATGGTTGACTGTTAGTTGAATTAAAATAGGAAGTACAACAAATATGTTAGCTTTAGAAAGAGAAAGTATTAGTAAAAAGTATAAACAATTTCGATTTACTATTCACTACGCAATTGTGTCTTGTGAGGAGAAGGGAGTTTCAGTTATGACACACATCGAGATACTTGAAAAAAAAATTGTGCATGATAAACATTTTAATTTACATTTTTTCTTCAAGTATATCGTTCGATGTTTTTTAATTATCATTATAGACATAGCAGCAATACTATTAACAATCCTTCTTGATGTCACAAAAACTCAGACGATAAATGTGCCATCTGGCACATATGATAACTTAATGGACTGTTTTAAAGATGTATTTACAATTTGTCTGAGTGTGTTTTAAAGGATTAGTACGAGCTTTTATTCGTCTTGATAAAAGAAAAAACATTTTGGTTATATAAAAACGGATAAACAATGATTTCTGTTTGATTTCTAACTGAATAAATTAGCCGATATATCTGCATCCAAAAAAAAATGCTCTATTTTATTATATTTATTTACATGTACAACATGCACAATGTTTAATGGATGATTGTCTGTTTATTGCTGTTTTCATTTGTTTTAATCGAATATGTAGAATCATTATAATGATGATAATCAATAGAAAACAATAAAACACGAATAGATTATATTTCCACCATTGAAATAAATAAATAAATAACACAGAAAATTGATTTTGTAATAAATCAATAGTTTCTATGTCAATCATTTAGTTTTTACAATGATTAAATTACATAGAAAAAATTTGATTTCGAGTTTTTCATTTTCAATAAATATAACATAGAAAAAAAAATATTTAGACTATGCTAGCAAATTATTAATCGAATCACATTATAAGATATTATGCTTGGCGTCATCTTTTACATTAGACAGATACTCTAGCAGTATAAAATGCGTCCAATATCGTTTTGGAAAATGTATATAAATAGTTATTTAAAATATGTGAAGATAAAATATTAATTATTGAACTAAAAATTTAATTAATGATCCTGTGACTTGTCGATTATTAACAAACGAATTTAAAGAGTAAACTTTATTCTTTTTTTTGAATAATTGCTTTTTAAATTTTTATATGATAATGATAACTAAGAAAGAAAGTCTTATTATAAATCTATTATCATTAAATTCTTCATTTTTTCAACCAGTTACAAAGAACAATAGGCCACATTTGTACAATCTTCTCATATCTATAATATAGAATATATCCTAAGATATGATAATAGAATCTTTTATTTGCTCTCTATGGGTTTTAATAATCTTTTCATTGTTTTGAAATACAAAGAATCATCATAAACAATCATACTTGAACAATAATTTCATGACTGTATCATCTCAGACCGAAAAAAAATTTAATCAAGTTTATTCTTAAGTTTTTTTTTGCAAGGTGAAACTCAGGTATTTTGTACTACAGCTTATTTAATTTGACAATACAATTGACAATCACCTTAATGAGAGTACTAACATATTGATAATTAGAAAAATATAGTTTCGGACACAAATTACAGAATAATATTTAGCTATTCATTGTTCTTTTTGTTCAAACGAGCTCAGTTTGTTTATGCTAGGTGTCAGAGAAGAAAGTGCTTTTAATTTGTTTATTCAATATGAGTAATATATGCTAAACAAAATTTAGATCTCCATAGTTCAGTGATTACGGTTATCAGCGTGTATCCACAGCGTACTGTGCTCAAATATCAGTACCGCCTGACATGAAATGATCATGGACAAGTCATTAACAGTGGTCTTGTTAAGTAATGGAATGCAATAATTCTATGGCAAGGCAGGTCTTCTCGTCAGAGGTGCAACTGGTATTAGTTACTAGGATGATATTGGACTATTGAATATGCCGTTAGGCAGCACTTTATACTTTAAGGTAGCCGAAAGACAGAGATATTCTTCCTTACTTTCGAACATATGACGGATTAATTGAATACATATATCTGATTATTTTCTAAAACATACTGGAATAAAAGCTGAAAACATTCTTATATATAATTTGTTTAGACTGTATTTTTTTTTGTACGTTAGATCAATTTTTGATGTAATGATAAATAGCTGAAATATTTTAATGCAAAATAATTGTTAATAGACTATGATTAGTAGTTAGAATTAGTCACCTGTGTCAAGTACGTTCTTCATAAGTTCCTACCATATTCTATATTTTTTCTTAATTATCTAATGTGTTTACATTGTAGCAAACATGACAGTCATGAAATATTTTCTCGGATGAGATAACAACTACCATATGGAAGTAATTCTTTATTAGTAGTTTTCTTAACATCACGTATTTGAATACAATTGGCTTTGACTTTTTGCTATTTTGTTCGTTTTTCTCAACATGTATAGATAATAAATGCTTGCTACATGGCATAAGAAGGCATGGTAATCAGGTATCTGCAAGAAAACATGACCTTACAATACTTAAGCTTATGTTCGCTATTTTTCTCTCACAAGAACCCATCCGTTATTATATGAATGTTGAAGAAACAAAAAGGAAGTATGGACGTTAACTTAATCTATAATTTTAGTAGTTACGTTGTCATTTCTCAAATGTAAATATTTTTCATTCATGAATAGATATATATAAATAGCTTAGAGCGCATTGTTTTGTTTTTCAACAAGAAAATAATGGAGCAACAAAAAAAAGCGTCGCCAGACTAAGCAATTAAATAATTTAAAATATTATTGAGATAAATTAATATTCATTATTTTACAATTGAAATGAAAGCTATATACTTCTATAGTTGAATGAATAAGGAGAATTTTCGTTTTACAAAAATCAAGGACATTTTGTAGTTAATATTACAGGCGAATTGTTATATTATGAAGCATATTGTACCAGCAACAATCAAATTTCATCATACGAGACAGTTGCAAAAATGATCAAAATGTTTTCTTTGTTTCTATAACACACAAATATCATCTGATAATGTCAATTGAGCTCATTGTGTACTTGGTGATGATTTTCATTCTACTACCAAATAGTAACTGAAATGGAACACTAAGAGTGACGGCCTTAAACAGGCGAATGTGCTCTAAATAGTAAACTTAAACGACAAATTTACTTTAGTTCGACTCAACGATTTCAATTTGAAAATATTGTTTTGTATCATTTTTGATACAATGAGTTCACATGTTTATTCATCATGTGACATGAGGAAAAGCTTGTCGTTACTATTCTGACATTAATAATCCTTGCAACATAGAAGAAATCGAGGATTCAGACCTAGCATATGTGTTGTCGATGTTCACCACGGTAACTTCAAGTCATGTCTTTATAACGATGTTTATAAGTATATCAATTATTCGATTCATATCAGAATCTTCATGTCTAGAATCACATTATCTTTAGTTATGTTACATGATTAAACAAAATCTAATCAACCAATATAACTCAACATGCTTTGAAAGTTCGTTATTTTCTATATGCGTTAATTATTTTTTTTTGAATTTTACTCCACATATCATTGTCAGGTTTTTATTCAGAACTACTTGTTATTTTTAATTATTTTCAGTGAATTATT